TATTTATTAGAATAAGAATAACATATCAGGATGATTATAAGCCATAAATTATTCCCACGTTTCTAAAATAAAAAACGAAAATTGTTTGCCTTCGAAGAAAAAATATTAAAACCATAAGAAGATTAACTAATTTTTTCAACAAATTTAGATATGATACACAAATCTATATTACATACTCCTATTCATACTCATACTCATCCTCATACTTATATATATATATATACATATATAATTTACATATAAAAATTATCGAAACGGAAGTCGAAAAAAAATTTGAATTTGTTTTTTTTTTTTAAGAATAAAATTATGATAAAATTATAATACGGTCATTAAAATAAGCCACAAAAAATTTATTATTTAAGTATAACAGAAACAAAGTCCCGCCAAATATACATAAAACATATTCTCTCATATATGCTTAGATGGTTATAATGGCATCCTAAAATAAGCTTTAGGTAAGAAATTATTATATAATAAACAGAATTAATTATATGACTAATCTTTGAAATATTTAATGTGTACCTCATTTTTAGTAAGCCTTTTTTTTTTGGGTTCTTTTTAATTTTAAACCTTCAACTTTAATTATATATTCCTATTTAAAAAAATCGAAATTTTTAAATTCTATATTCAAAATTCAAGATAGTTATATTTTAGGTCCAGGTACAATTATTTATAAAATTTATAAAAGCTAAAGTTTTTATCGTAAATTTGGTATATATGCATATTTCTGTGTATGATACATGCAATATAAAGGTACCGATAGAAATAAGATATTTCAATTTTGAGGCTCCCTTAAACTCGTATTCTATTTTATCACAAAAAAATTTAAGAGCATTAAAAAATTATAACATAAAATTTTATCTTCTATATTCTATATTTAGAAAATCAGTGAAATTATAATTAATATTAAAATTAAATTTTTGATTTAAATTTTTTTGGAATTTACATAAATTTAATTGTTAGTATATACTAAAATTTAATACCATTATTAATTAAGTATTTTATACAGCTTAAAATTTCAATGTAAGTCACTGCATAAATGCATGAATGCATTTAAAATTAATGAGCACAATAATTATACAGATTCAATAATTTGTGCTTGTTTGTTAAGCACCTTCCATTTACACAAATTTTATTGTATTTATTTCAATTTGAATCTTTGAAAATTGAATTGATCTGAACCATACCAATTGGTCTTCTGCTAATATTGAAAATATTTGATTTTAAATTGCATAGAAATAATATCGTATAAATTTTTGATAAAATTGGTAAATGTTTAGTATTATTTTGAGGAAAAATCAACATTTTAAACCTTATTTAGTACGGAATAAATTTTGTCCAAACAAATGATTTGCAAAGAAGCACTTTTCCATTCAACAAGCGAAAACACTACTTTGAAAAGCAATCTAGGCTACATTATTTAAATTAATTGCATTCATATATCAAATTCTACATAATAAAACATATTGCATACATTCAGGATGACCAAAAATAAAAAAAAATTAAAAGAAGCATTAAAATAATAGTTGAATTGAATGGAATTTACGGTTAGCTTTCCGCATTTATTGAAAATTTGAAAAATCTTGCAGTTTCGGAAATATAAGATGCCGAAAATTCGAATTTTACGAATTTCTAGAGATAATAGAAGAATAAAAAATTTCTTCTTAGAAAATAAGTTGTTTATATGAATAGCTGTTAAAATTTCAGAGTCCTACATTTTGTCATCTAGAATAATAACCGGTATTAAAAATTTGAAAAGAAATTATTTTAGATAATGGTTAATTTTAACGGCTATTTTGTTTTTTTAAATTTTAACAAATCTATAGCGTAGCTTAACAAATCTGCAGAGTAGCTTTTGCAGAAATTTCAAAAATGTCACAAAAAAATTTTTTTCGTTTCGTTACAACAAATAGTTTAAAAACGGCATTTTTAGGCCTTTAAGCGATTATTACTTTTAGAGGGTAGCAAAATTGATAAAAATTTTTTACGAAAATAAATTTCTAGTTAAGATCTATCCTGTGAAGTCCACCATCAAAAGAAGAAAATGGATTGGACATACACTCCGAAGGGCACCGAGTACAATAGCGCGGCGGGCGATGGAGTGAAACCCACAGGGCAAAAGAAGAAAAGAAGAAGACAACGGCTACATGGAGGCGAAGAATCGCAAAAGAATTATCAACAGCTGGAAAAACTTGGGAAGAAATAAAAATACTGGCGCAAAATAGAGTTCAATGGAGAAGCTTTGTAGAAGTTCAATACTCTCAAAGGGAGTGAAGTAGGAAAAAAAAAATTCTACGTACATATAAAATTTTAGGGTTTTATCTTCGAGAATGTAGAATTTTTGTAAACAGACATACTGACAGACGGACGGACAGACAGACAAACGGAAATTTTTTTAAAAATTTTTTTGGAGAAGTTCTTAATGTGGAATAGCCTAATTAATACAATATAATAGCAATATACAATTGAAATTTAATTAAGTTAAACAAGATTTTAATAAGAATTAAAACATCATTGTCTTTTTCATTGTCTGATTACATATACTAGACACATATGTATATGAAACTTTTAAGTCTCATCACCATAATGCAAAATGAAAAGGATTGAATCATATCAAAATCTTTGCATACTTGGATCTAAATTAAAGAATATAAATCTTAATATAATTTTATTATTCATTTGACCCCACAATTATATTGTATACATTATTAGAAAGTATACTAATCTAGTTCGAATTTTCAAGCTAACATAATTGTAGATTATAGATTACTGAAAAGAGATTTTAAACATTGCAGCCAACTATGGCTTATTGCCCTTCTATATTCCACTTTTATATACTATATAAAAATTACCTTTAATCTTTTCTCAATGCAATTACTTATAAGAGCAGGTATTTTGTAATGACATCGAATTTATCAAAATTAACTATAGTTAATTTTTGTTTTAAAGCGTAACAGAAAAAAAATCAATTCTATTGAGAAATTTTCTTTTAATTTTCACTTACTATTTTATACATATGTATACGTAGAAGTTACATGAATGCAATGTTAAATACTGTGTACCACCATGACGTAGCACATTTAAAAGAATATTAAAAGAGTTTCAAAAGAAACAAAAATTACAAACAACAATCATTTAATTTGGGTTTCTTTTTTTTTTCATTTTCATTATTTATTATATACCAATGTATACGATGATTTTTGAATAGCCACTCTATCCATCATCATTATTTTCTTTCTTATTGTTATACACACATCCATAACTAATTACATAGATTTATTTATTTCTAGAGTATACATATATGTACATATTATATACGCAGCAGAATCTATAGAAAAATAGGATTTTTTTATGTAGAAAAAAAATTTCTATTGTAATTTCTTAATCAATATAGATGGCAGCGCATATCGTGCACCAATATCAAATTTTTCAAAATAAGTTTTTATCATTATAATTTTGTTAAATATATAGATACACTCAAAAAAAAAAATTGAAATTATGAAACACATTTTGTTTCAATCGAAAGATGTTTTTCATTTGTGAGTACCGGTAACACTATGTATTTTCTGTATTAAGGGGGTATAACAAATTCTCTCAAATATAAGATAGAAAAAATTACGGTTGACCACTTCCTGTAGGTAGCACAATGTTTTCTAAAACCGAAACTTCACTCTAAAAAGAGGACAAGTAGAAGTTTCTTATGCTCCTATAAGTGGAATAAGGGAAAAAAATTGATCAAAATAACCACAAATATTTACAAGCACAAATTATTAAACAATTTCCCAAATTTTTTTTTATATTTGTTCGGCATATTTTTATGGCTCATTTAGAAAGCCCAAGTCGGTTCGAAATTATGAAAATTTGTTTTCGTACTATTGTGTATCACAAAGATTTTCATAATTTCGAACCGAATCGGGCTTTTCAATAAGAATGTTATAGTATATAAGTACCACTAATTAAATTCTCTTAGGGCTCAATCAAACATTCAATTTTTAGTTTTTGGAGCTGTTTGATATCTTATTTGTATTCCATATAGGTTTATATACTCAAGCATACACACATGCAGCTGTATGATCGCATACAATTAATTAATCAAACAATTTGTAATTTTTTTTACAAATTTTAGTTACGGCATACTCGATTTGAATTGACACAATAGTTTATTTGCTTAAATCTGCACCCAACGATATTACATTCAAATAGTAATTTCAATACTAAAATTTTAATGTCTACCTGAGCTCTTAATATCTCTAAAATATATCCCGAATCACAAATGGATTTTTCATCGCCCATCTAAAAGATAACCGATAGCTCTTTTGTTTGCAAAACGCTAGCAGTAGGAAGCCTAATGATTAGATGTTCCCGGATATTTCACTTTCATTATTAGAATTAAATATTTTCTATAATGAAAGAAAACCGACTAAAAAAAAATTTTTTAAGTGTACGCTAGATCAATCATTTTTTTTTCTCTCTGATTCGTAAAATCTCATCATCTGACATTTAAAAAGCGTTAATTATTGTACTGCGTGTATATAGTAAAAAAAAACTGAAGAAAAGCTTTTTGTTACATTCTTTTCTTTCAGAACACCAATTTCAGTTAATTTTCTGTTCCTGAAAGATATTGTTTTTCTTTTTTTACACTTTTAACTTTTTGGTTATTTTCTAACAATACCTGTTGTTATATGATTTCCTCTCTTGTACCTAATCTTGCAACATTTGTGGTTTGTTCAATAGATATAGAAAAAAATCTAAGGTTCATTAGGCTTTCTTCTAACTTCTTTTTAATTCTATTATTCCACCATATTTTTTTTTTTAACATATTAAGCTTTACAATACATTATTATACTGGAATACATTAATTTTCCAAAAAAAAAAATCATTGTAGAATATTCAGAAAGTGAAAAATGAATTAATATTTCTCATTTTTTACACCTTTTATATCTCTGTCAAATTTTAAAAAACCTAATTCATAATGTTTTTTTTTTATGTTTTTCTTGCAGCTAACAAAATTTTTACCATTATTGGAATCAACATGCTCCAAACATATTCGTTTTCTTATATGTTCTTCAATTTTTCCATTATGTTCACCTGATGTACCAAGACCGGTGACAGCATGTCGTTCATTATGTGAAAAAGTGAAGAAAGATTGTGCTACTGAACCTTTATTAAATCATTTATGGCCAGATTTTTTAAATTGTGAAATTTTACCACAACCAGAAAAACAAGAATTATGTATGCAAATACCAGATGAAGAAATTAAAATTGATAAGAATCCAAATAATGGAAAATTTTGGCCATCATGGTTACCATGGAAAGTTACTGCAAATGGTATAATTAGTGGTACACATCATAGTCATCATCATCATCATCATCATTCACATCATACCGGTGGTATTAATATTGATAATAGTTTAGGATTAAAAATTATTTGTCCTGTTAATTTTACTGCTTATGATCGTGATTGTATTCCACAATGTAATACGGATGCCATTTATAATTCACAACAAAAAAAAATTACTCAAGCCTTAATATTATCATTATCAGCAGTTTGTTTTATATTAACTTTATTTTCATTGGTAACATTTTGGGCGGAACCAACACGTTTCGGATATCCTGAACGACCAGTTCTATTTTTATGTCTTTGTTATAATTTACTAAGTGTTTCATATTTAGAACGTATCGTTTTTCATAATCCGATCAAAGAGAAATTTATTGATAATGCAAACGATGAAATAACAATAACAGTTGGATGTACTATAGCTCCACCATGTTTAGCATCATATATAACAACAAGTTATTTAATGTTATGTGCTGCATCATGGTGGTTAATATTTGCATTATGTTTTTATTTGTCATCTAATAAAAAATGGTCTAGTGAAGCTTTAGAAAAAAAATCTGGTCTATTTCATGTTTTAGCATGGGTAACACCATTAGGACCACCAATTGGTGCATTACTTTGGGGTGCTGTTAAATCAAATGAATTAACTGGTATGTGTACGGCACCAGGTTTTGTTGAAATACCAGCTATTATATTACTTATTTTTGGTGCAACATTTACAATGAGAGCATCTAGATCACTTCAAAATTTACAAGAAGAAATAAGAACACCAGCATTAACAAATAATCAATTTAGATTTTCTCAAATTCGAAAACGTGTATTAATTTTTAGTTTAGTATTCTTTATTCCAACTGTAATTGCAATTTTATTAACATTTTTTGAAAGATTAGATGTTCGTATATCACCGTGTATATCAATTGAAACATGTGAGCAACCTAAAAAATCATCTGCAATACCAACATATTTAAAATTATTTTTTCAATTAACTGGTGGTACTTTAACTGGAATGTGGGTATGGTCACGTAAAACATGTGAATCTTATAGAAGTCGTATAGTAACAGCAACAACACCAACAATTTCATCTACATCGACGAAATCTGGTATGACAATACCAAATAAAAAAATGTCAAATAATAAACATGTGACACCATTGTATAGTGGCATTAATTTTCATAATGTTCCAGTTTATAATAGTCATTCAAGAGTATAGCAATTAACGAAATTTTAGGTTTTTTTTTTTTTTTTAATAATTTTGTTTTTTATTTTTTTTTTTAAATTAAAAAAAATTCCTTTAGGTTTTTATAATTATATTTTTTTGTAATATATATACAGTTATATATAATAATATATATTTACATATTAAACATTGAATTAATTTTAAAGTATTCGTAGAATATTAAGTATAAGAACGTAGAAATGTTAAAACTGAATTTAAATCAACATGTTTTTCATTTAAACTTTCATTTAGTAACAATTATTGTTGCAGAATAAGTAATATTATTTGTTACTTATTCTAACATTAAAAAATATAAAATTTTTACTTATAAAAATGAATTTCTTGTTAAATTAAACTCGAACAGAATATCGATAATTACAACTGTTTTGAAAACTATACCGAATTATTGATTTGTTTAAAAAATTTCAAGATTTTCTCATGCGAAATAAATATTTTACTTTTTCCTCTACATCCTGTTCTACAAAAGAAATACAATTTGAAATTCTAAATGAATCAAGAGACTCTTGATATTGGATAATCTTTAGAAAATTTTAAAGTAAATAAAAAAAAAAAAACAAATAATAGAAAAACAATTCCAAAAATTTAACAATGTTCTTAATAGTTTCATAATTTCGGAGATTCAATTTTTATATCTAATTGTGTCCAAGTTTATTAATTAAAATAATATTTATAATATTTATGTAAATAAATTCAAATAATTTTAATCTATAAAACCCGTCATACTATACTGTAAAAATTAAATTTTTGCAAAAAAAAAAAAATTTTTAAGAAAAATAAAAACTAATTTTTATATTTCAATTTTAATTTTTATATTTTAAGTGTTATAAAGCTTTAAATAATAATATTTATTAAAATAAAATAAAATATGTAATTTAAAAAAAAAATTAATAAAAACATAAAAATTAAATAAGAGTATATGATGAACGTAAAATTTGTGTGTTTGTGCTTTAAAATAATTGTTTAATATTATGTTTATTAATTAATTATTCAAATTTAATATTTAAGTATAAAATAAAAATATTATATAAATATTTGAAATTAAAATTATTAAGATTATTAATAGTTAATAGAATAAAATAATTATAAAGATTGACGTAAGATATTAAAATTAATTAAATATTACAATATAAGAAGTACTATATATTGTAATTTGAAAGAAGACTTAAATAATAATTTTATATAGAAAATGTAATATTAAAAATATGTATGGCATTTATATTAAAAATATGTGTGCATATGTACACAATATTATTGTAAATAAAAATTAAATTTTTTTTAAAACTTTTGTTTTTACATTTTTATTATATAGCTATTGGTGAAATTTTCAGATTTAGGACTTAAATTTTTCCCAACCTGATCTTATAAAGTATTATTAAAGCGAATCCCTCAGAGCAAATCAGACAAATTGTATATAATATGAACCCATGGTTTAGGACAAATTATATTTCAATGTATTTACTTCTACTTTTAAAAGTCTAGAATACTAAAATATATAAAAATTCTATTGGCATTTTGAATTATATTATAACAATATTAACACATTATGAGCGGATCGGGTACTAGTACCCGCTTGTGTGATTGTCACCTCAACCAATTTGTTACAATGTTTCAATTTGTTTGATGGGACTGATTGATAAAATATTTGATCGTCCACTTTAGTTTATTTTTTTATACACAAAGGTCTTATAATAATTTTAAAATAAATTATCCGGATGTATACATTGTATATTCGCCCGCTACGCAACATTGTTGCCCATACTAGGCCGCCCGCTCATAATTTGTTAAGCGTACTATGTATGAATATAAAAATAATATAAAATTCATATTGAAATATCAAAATAAAAAAGACAATAATGTATTTCTAATATATTTATTTTCAATATAATTATTTTACATCTTATGTAGTTATAATTTAAATGTAATTTATGTATTTTTTCTAATATTATTTTTTTTTTTTTTCGTTTTTATTGTTTTTAATAACCCTCAAAATAACACTTTTTAAAATTATAAACAGTTGAATATTTAATCTTAAAAATTAAATTTCGTTAAAAGTTATTAGTTTTTTATTTTTTATTTTATTTTTATTTTAAATTGCAAGAGAAAATAAATCATTTTCGAATTTATTCTTGTTTTAAATACAAGGAAATTATGTAATGCAAAACAACGGCTTAAAAATGTAGAAAATTTGGAATTTTCGCTTTTTTTTATATTATATTATAGAAATATTGGTAAATTTAATTTAATATGGTGAGTGGAAACATCGAAAACACAAAATCAAAAGATTTAATTAATTAATAAAATTAAAATTTACACGCTTGAATAATGTATAAAAAAATGCTATTTAAAAAAAAAAATGCTTAAATACTAAGAGTTTATAATTTATATGATTGTTCTTTTTTGTTATTATTATACATAAACCAAAATTTCAGAATCATGTAAAACCAAGCACATTTTATCAAAGTAAAAATTCTGCACAAGTGTATTAATGCAAATTTTTTTCATTCTTTTTCACCAATAATAACAAATTAATTTAGATCACAATCACAAACTTAGGTTAATCTATTTAATTTTGACATATTAAATTCATTAGTTCCTATGAATTTTATGATTTAGAATTTTAAAGAATAGGAAAATAATCATAAGAAAATCACATCTTTTATCACAAGTTAAGCACGATTTAAGGATGATAATAAACTATTAACCAAATTTTACAATTACATAATACATATATATATATATATACATATTTATTATACCTTTCAAAACTAATTATAATTTAAAAACAAAGACATTAATTAAATTAACTAACACTGTAGAAATTATACATATGTATATAAAATTAATGTAGTATAAATTAGTTTCATAAAATGTTCACTTAGCCGTTTCAGTTTTTTCAATATTTCTTAATACATATTACATTAATAATTAAAGACACCAAAAGTATGTATTCAATAAACTTCCATCTTGTCATAAAATATATCTAGAAATTTTTAAATATTTATCATAAAATAAAATTCATAATAAAATGCAATACGTTAATAATTTAATCTCGTGACTTGTGTTTTATTTATTTATTTTTCAATTTTTAATTGTTTTGAGAAAATTTAAAATCGAATTATTTATAATCATGGATTCCCAACAAAATTCAAAAAGAATAAAATAAAAAGGATAAATGCATGTAAGCATAAGTTTTTAATTAAAAAAGTTGTTTCCACTCTTATGATTTTTTTCAACCTATGGGAATATTTGATAATATATTACTTTTAAATATAGTATTGTTTTTAAAAAAAATATTTATCTTGTAAATTGTGGATAGAAATAGTTAAACTAACATTGTATTTAATGTGTTTACATTTAAATTTTTGTTATCTTAATATCTAGGAAATATAAATGGATAAAATAATTGCATAGGTTTTATTTTAACGCAAAATTTGAATTTTTTACGTTTTTTCAATTCAAAAATAAATGAAAGTTTTTTTCTTAAATCGACTTTATTTAAAGATTATACAAAAGCGATTTCTAATTTTTTTAACTTCTGTATTATATTTGACTTTATTAAAAAAAATGTAGAACGAAAATTTATTATGAACATTTTGGAATAATTTTCTATTAGAAATATACAATAAAAGGAAAACTTGATACTAAAAGCAGATATTTTTTACTATAGTTTTAATAAATTTTCGCATTTTTTAAACGCGTATATTTAAAGGAAAGCCCCAAAAATTATTTCATTTAAGAATAAACGAAGATAAGAAAATACATAGAGGATAAACTAATAGATCCTTTCATAAAACAATAAATATGCTTGCGCCTTCAAAACAGCACTTTCCAAAACTTCTTGTACTCGACTATCAGAAACATAATACCATTTGCCTGGAGGTGCCTCAATATTAATTTGTTCTTCAGTATTATTAGATAAAGCACCACCAACGGCACCTTCACATTCAGTAGTATCACTGAGGTCAACTAAAGGCTTCGATACATCTGAAACTTCATTCCCACGGATTCTATCATCTGAATCTGAAGAGGTATTACTTGATGTAAAATCGTCGCTATCATTTGATTTCATTCGCTGTTCCCTAGCTTTCTCTTTCGCTAGCAATTCATCTAATTTAGCTTTTTGCTCATCTGTTTGATCTAATTCAGCTTTGCTACCTTGTGGCATAAATTTCCAGCGTTTATCTGATTTAGATAATTTTGGTCTGACTTTAACATACGCTGTATAATGTCCACCATACATGCTACCCGAATGTTCAACAATTCCATACAATGCATAAAGTAATTTCTTTTGTTTTCTGTCTATATTTGGTAAATTTTTCACCTTAGATCCGCAAAAAGGTGCAATATCTAAAACCACTGGAAATGATACAGGTCTGGTCAACTTACTAAATAGGCAACGTTGACCAACCTGGAATCGTTTTAAATGTAGTATTAACACTGCTGGTGGACTTGAAATTAAAAATTGCTTTGTAGCGTTCGTGTAAATAGATTTAACATTTTCGCCTTCTCCATTAATACGTTTTGTACAAGCATCGCACCCGACCTTATTGTTTCCAGTCATTAGCTCCACTGCTGTAAAATTATTTAGACATGATTGAATAGAACATTCCCCTGCATCGCATTGATAACGAGGTGCGATGGTCGTATTCCAATCAGAATAACTTTGAGTACGTATACGTTTCTGCTTTGCTTTCTTTTTCTTAATATCTAAAATATTTTTATTATCTTTTGCATCGTTAGGAATATCATCATCTGATAAATTTAATTTTTCTAAATTTCGTTCAAGATTTTCTTTTTGGTTTAACTCTAAAGAACGATTTCTAACTAAACTAGCATTTTTATTAATTCCCAAATTTAAAATTAAATTACTAGAACCGTTACATTCCATGGAATTGTTTAATTCAGTAGAACCACCTCTGGATCGTGTCAATGATGTATTGGCAGAAGAAATTAAGTCCATAGAAGTTGTTGGATTAGCAGGACTTGTAGCAATACCAGAATCTACAATTTATTAAATATTTAAAATCAAATACAGTTTTCACACCCATAAATTTATTGTAATGATGTAATTTAATATTCTGATAGATTTAATCTTACCATTCTCATCATCATTAGAATCTTTGTTAGGATTCTCTGGAGAATCTCCACGTTTCTCGGGACTATTAGGTGTTTCACTATTTCCGTTTGTATCGCAAGCCTTCTGCAGATGTAGCAACGACTGTCCATTTTTCGGAATGTCGTCTATCAAATTGTCTTCAATATCGGCATCAGATTGCTCTGATGATGATGAATCAGAAGATCTTGAATTCTCAATTTCTTTATTATTTAATGAAGTATTATTGGTATCTATGGAATCGTCCATGTTATCTCCAATTGGACCAATTGGTATATAATTCAGTTTTTTATTATGATGTTTTGCTGCCCGCTTTGCCTTTCTTTCTTTTTCTTTTTCTTTCTTTAATTGATGCTTTGATAGCGTAGTGGAATTGGGAGACGTTTCAGGACTAGTTCTACGTCTGATTGGAGGTGGTGGCTTCTCCACGCTGACAGGCAATGACATATCGAGGAAACTTTCATGCCTCGAAGATGTATAGAAGCAATCTTGACAAGTTAATGTTGAAACTAAAAAACCTCTAAAAACTTGCTCCGGGCGTAAAATGCGATCTTGAGCTTGTTGTCCATAAATTTTGCATTTTTGTTTCATGTCATCTCCAGGTGTTATTTGGGAATTATAGCCCAGCTCATTCAATATAACTTTCTGATATCGCTTCAAATCTTCGGACCTAACAAAGTATTTTTAGAAAAATTTGTAATTCATATAGAATTCACTTAATTTTTTTACCTGACGCGTTCTAATAAATGACGTAGTAATTCATGAGAATCATGTTGATCACCCCCCCGGAATTGAGGGCATTTTGTTGTTAACTTATTGAATAATTTTGATGGATTAAAAACGCTACCTGTTACATTAATTTAGTTGGGTATAAAAATTTATAGACATAAAAATTTATTATACTTCATACCACCAGATTGTAATTGCTCTAAAGCATCAGCTAAAGATGAAGTTAATTCGCCCCACTCACTCAGAACTCCTTCAATGGCTGGTAAAATTTTTGTTTCTCCATCTTTAAATTTAAACTCACCACCGGGAAGAGTAAACCTTAATGAAAAGAACGTTAAGAATGAAAAACACAAAAAATTAAATAAACTAACCTTTCACCAGCTTCAGAAGATTCATGCAAAACTTCTAACAAAAATGGTGTTTGAGCCAAACATTGCAAAACAGCATTAAAAAAGCAGGTGTTTCCTAAATTAGAAAGTCCTCTAACGCGGGGTAAAGTATCAATTGGAAACGTAGAAATTGATGAGCCTTGCATTGTCGTTGTTTGAATTCTTCTAGCCATTCCTGGTATAGGTGTTGAGTTTGGTGATGAGCTATTATTTACACTATTATTCGAATTAAGTTTTAATTTCAAGTGATCTGTTAAACCTGAATCTGTTTCATATAAAATAAAAATGTTACTGATAATTCATTTCACAAAATTTAAAATTTACCATCGATAGTTTGTCCCTCAGTCGGAGTTATAATTTGCGGCACAATAGCTTGTTGTCTTTGTGTTAGTTTTTTAACAAAATCAACCGTTTCCGAAAGTTGCTTTTTTGTAGTACAATTGACTTCTTCGTCACATGCATAACACCATAAGCTAAATGTAGTCGTATTAATAACTAGAGCATGTGAATCAGAACGGGGAGTTTCAAAATGCTCTAAAGCATGCTGATTTTTAGCACGCCCGCACAAGTGTGTTCCACATTTAAGACACAACCACAAAGTCCTATCGAATTCAAACATATCTTCGCTAAATTTTCCATTAATTTCTGCAATTATATATGAATATATATTAAAACTTGTGTTAAATACTTTAGTTATTGAGTATTGAACTAGCTCAATTGACTAATACACAGTATTTTCGGTTAAAATTAAACTATGAATATTTTTAAACTATGAATAAATTTAAACTGTGAATAACTTTAAAAAAACTTACCTTCTGTGTTCTGTGGTGATTTTTTGAGACATTCGCCACAATTATTCATATCGAGGGGAGTTGTTTTATACAGCTTCCTAAGTTTCTGCAAATCAAGCGATCTTTTAACGTGCTGACATTCTACTACTACTCCCCCAGGAGAATCTATAGGACTGTTACTGTTATTTGTTGGTTTGTCATCAGAATCTGTGCTGTATTCATCTTTATTTTGAGGATCACTTTGTCTTTTCTTTTTTACCATTTTAAGCAGTCTAAAATTTCTGGAAATATAAATTGAAACAATTAACTCAATTTGCATAAAACGCATGAAAATATAAAAAAAACAACCATTGACCTAATTCAGTTTTTATTACATACATATGACTTTTTTCTTTGATTTCATTGAATTGTCACAATGATTAAGGTCAACCAAAAATTGCAAGTATCATACCTTAACACTAAATTCGTTTGACCTTCCATATACGAATAACTTTAATAAAACAAAGAAAATATCTTTAAAATGTAAAAAACAAAGGAAATATAGGCACGCATACGTGAAATTGCTCTAATTTTTGGAATATAATAACGCATTTTTGAAAAATGAGGTTAGTGTAATAGTCTGGTACAATTTTAGACTTTTTTTGATTTAAATGTTTTATTTTTTTTTTTAATTTAAAAATTAATTTTGGTGTACAATAAATCTACTTTATACTCACTTTAATTATTAATTCCGAACTTTTAGTAATATTAACTACTTTTATTAGATATAATATTTTAAACTTCTTTTTATTCAATAAGCTTTCTTATTCTTAACTCTTGAACTCTCTATCTGTAGCAAACTTGACAGCTTGACGTTTCTGTGATTATCCAAAATTCCAAAATACAAAAAAGTTTAAAAAACATAAAACGAAAAGTCATACAATTTATGTACAAACAATTTTTATAAGTTAGTGATGGGACGTGAGAATAAAAGATAAATTATCATTGCAGCGTTTCATTTTTTATTCATGCCGCCATATCAGATTCAACCATAGGCTACAGCGATGAATACTTTAAAGACGAAATCAAAATAAGTAATTCAAGTACAGAACATTATATTTTCCTTTGTCATTTTTTCCTTTTTCAATCAAGTTCACGCTCAGATTCGATTTAGATTTTAGAGCTATAAGATTGAGAACTTATAGAGAAACGTTCAGTGCAATTGTGTAATTAATGGAATTAGTTAAAAGTATTAATAAGAAAAGTGCAAGCAAATATTTTAGAGTAAAATACATACTTTTTTGATTGATCGTAATCTAATCAGATCGAAATAAAAATGGCTTTTGGTGGTCAAATTTACTTTTAGATAAAAATACCTTATAGATTACCATATAGAAAAGCGATTTATTTATTAAAAGTATTTCACAACTTTTCTAACTTTTAATGGAAATTAAACCCTTAGTGAATTTAGTAACGTTAAATTTTTGTTAAGTTGTTTAAATTCTTTCTTAAGTTGTCGAAAATAAATTTATGATTTTTATATCTACATATTTGAAAAAAGTAGCGTGCGGCAGCAACAGTGTTAAATTCATATCAATTTTGATATTATTATATCATCTGACATGTGCTTGCTTTTTTTGTTTTGGGTTTGAATGTTTTTTGACATTGAAATATTGCAATCAAAAATTCATTGGTTTTCTTTTTTTCTTTGCGAAATATAATTTCAATTTTTAAGACAAATTTAAAGCGAATTAGCTAATTTTGAGCAAGCTAATAGTAATAAAAGTCGATTTTTGTAGGTTGAATTTTACTTTAAGTTTCTATATATTTTATTCTGGCAATTTTAGAAAAATGGGGAATGCTGCAACCAAAGAAGCTGTAGAAGGTGTAAAATCTCCAGCTATTGCAAATCCCGTTGTAGTACCACAAAAAGAAGGTGAGAAAAAAAAGTGCAAAGCCTGCTGTGCTTGTCCGGAAACTAAAAAAGTTAGGGATCAATGGTAAGAAATCAATGTTTTTAATAAGTTTTACTCGAAAAATTGCATCTGCAAAAATTATATAACATTATACCTACCGAAGTATAATGTCATATTTCATATAAGCATAATATGTATATATGTATTCCTCCCGCGATCATTTTGTAGTAAGTCTTATTCTTTTCGTAGAATCGTACATAATTATAATATTAATGGAATATAACTGCGACATTTGTACAATTTTCAATACATGTACCTATGTATGTATTCATTTCTTCTTTTGTAAATTTTTAAAATACATTATCACTTTTCTTTTTGATTTTGTATTACACATAATTGCTAATCCTTTCACCAGTCGTGGTCACAGGTAACAGAAAAATTATCCTTTCTTTTGTTCAATAAAAAAAAAACAAAAAATTATATCATATGCACGGTTTAGAACTATGTAATTCTATTACGTTGTTGGCATACGTAAAATCCTACTTGCAATTTTGAAAACCAGTCAGATGATAGTAGTGATAGTAGAAATATCAATAATTAATGATATTATAATAATGTATGGTACAAATTACATATTTGTATACATAGTACATTATGTAGGTACGAAAATGAATACGCATGTATAAAAACATTTTGCCGATTGTATATTTTGATAAACCGAAAGATTATGGTTTTCCAAAGTTTATCAAAATATCTTAAACATCGACAATACTTCAACATTGCTAAAACATTTTTATTTTTGAATCATAAATTAAACAAGTTTATTTTTTTTAGTATAATGGAACGTGGAGAGGCAAACTGTTCAACAGAAATTGAGGCTCATAAGAAATGCATGCGTGATATGGGCTTTAATGTATAAGTATGTACTTACTTTAGTTTTGTAGTGTTTATATAAATTATTTGTCAGAAATGTGATGTTAAAATAAATGAAAATAAAAATAAGAAGAAAAGGAATTTATTTTCAATTTTATTTCTTGCTTTTTGTCAATCAATAAAGATTGTTTTCAATCAATTTTCAATTTCTAAAATTTTGATTCCACTTATAAGACGAAATTCCGTACCAAAAAAAAGAATAATGTATGTATACATATATGCATAGCAATTTTTCTAAGTTATTTGAATTTCTGTTTAGTTTAATTTGAATTTATATGCACTAATAACAATTACTTTAACATGTAGACCTATTATACAAATTAATCAAAATTCACTTATATAGCGGCTGCTGCCGCTGCCTTTTTTTGTTGCTCCTTTTTAATTGCTGTAATACATTTTGCCATTGTAGGAGATGCACGGGAAATTGAATCGGTCATAAAATATTCTGTCAATTCAGTTTGCTTAACTCCAATCTTTGGACTCTCAATTCTTCCACTTCCCTAAAATAATTTTATTGCACTATCTTAATTTGTTAAGCTAATATTAAGAAGTTACTGATTTAAGGACGCTTTGCAAAGCCATTTGACTTGTTTCATTAGACTCTAATTTTCCATAGTGTACCAAATGGGGTGCAATATCTTCCATGCGGTTTCTTATTTCGTCCAAAGTATCATATGGCAAGGGAGTACCTTAAATTGAAAACAGCAAAATAATTTTTATATACATTTCGTAAAGATATTTCAAAAACAAAATCTTATAACAAATATACCTGTAACTTCTGACAAAGCTCTCACAATTTTCCAGTCTTCTCTAGCTAAACCTGGTGGAGTAACAGCAACTTGTGTTTGCTGAGCTCTACCTTCTGTGTTAACATATGTGGCTTGTTTTTCAGTATACGCTGCTCCTGGTAAAATTACATTTGCTAATGTTGCCCCCCTATCACCGTGGTGGCCAATGTAAACAATAAAACTATCACCAAGTTTTTCTCGATTTATGACTTCATCATCCGCTCCTAATAAGAAAACTACCTTAGGTTTCTTAGCTATTATGTCATCTACTCCTGCTTTATAACCAATATCTAATGCACCAGTTTGCCCAGCATTTCGTTGGAGCACATTGTAGGGATTCCAATTCTTATAAAAAAAAAAATATAACAAATTTTCAAAGATCAGTTTGCTTTTCTTTCTTAGCAATTTAACTATGTATCAAAACCGATTTAAATATATGTATGTAATAATTAAAATTTCTCGAAAACAGTTTGAAATCAAAACGAATTACCGGTTTCTGTAAAGTAGCAGCATATTTTTGCAAAGTGTTTTGAATACCATTTCCATCTGGGCGTTCTAAGATATCTGCACCGACAATAATAGCCGGTTTCTTGGCAGAATTCAATGCCTTTGAGAAAGGATGATTACCACTTGCAATTTCAGATATCAATGAAGAATCGTCACCAAGATGCTAAAGTTAATATTATAAAAAATCGTTTTATGACATGGCAATGATAAGGGCTATACAAGGTACCTCATATTTATATGATAAATCAATTTTAGGACCAATAAGAGCGATATTTGCCTCATTATGTACATAGCCTTTACGCAATCTTGTATTTAATAGTGGTGCTTCATATCTTGGGTTGGTTCCAACAAGCAATACCGCATCTGCCTCTTCCAAACCTTAATGGATATTCAAAAATGCAAAATTTTGAAAAAATTTAGATAGAATATAAAAAAAACTTACCGGCAATTGAAGAATTTGCAATGTAATTAACTCTTAAATCACTTCCACCACAATCCTGAGAAATTTTGTGTTCAGTGCAGCATAATTCTGAACCAAGCTTGTTAATTAAATCTTTAAGTGCTACCATAGCTTCAACGTCAGCCAGTTGACCAGCGACTACTCCAACAGAATCGCCAGCCTTATTTACTGCTTTCGCAACAGAAATAAGTGCTCCCTCCCATTCTACTGCCTGAAATTCGCCACTTGGTAGACGAACCATTGGAGCAACTAAGCGCTGTCGTTTAAGTCCGTCGCATGCAAATCTAGATTTATCCGCGAGCCATTCTTCATTTATTTCTTCGTTTTCACGAGGCAAAATTCTTAAAACTTCTCCAGTACGCGTGCTAACTACTATATTACTTCCTATAGCATCCAAAACATCAATCGACTCTACTTTGCGAATTTCCCATGGACGAGCAACAAAGCTGCCAATTTTATTACAATTTAGAATTCATTATTTTTTTTATTTTTTTCTATTTACCTATATGGTTTATTAGTAAGAGCTCCAACTGGGCACAAATCTATAATATTTCCGGATAATTCTGTTAATAGAAGCTTTTCAACATAAGTGCCGACCTGCATATCGTTTCCACGTCCAGTTGTTCCGAAATCATCAACCCCAGCTACTTCAGAAGCAAATCGTATGCAGCGGGTACAATGAATGCATCTAGTCATTATTGTTTTTACAAGAGGTCCTATATCTTTATCCTCAACAGCTCTATACCAATATAAAAAAATTAATACAATCGTTCTTAATTCTTTTTCCTGTATGTGAACCTTTTTCCAGTATGATTAATGTCCGTGAATCTTGATCTATCTGATCCAAAAGCCATAGCTTGATCTTGCAAATCACATTCACCTCCTTGATCACAAATTGGACAATCTAACGGATGATTCATCAATAAGAATTCCATAACTCCTTCCCTAGCTTTTCTTGTCATTTCAGAATTTGTTTTAATACGCCAACCTTTCATTACTGGCATAGCGCAAGCAGCAACAGGTTTGGGACTTTTTTCAACTTCAACTAAACACATACGACAATTTCCAGCGACTGCTAAACGTTCATGATAACAGAAACGAGGAATTTCAACCCCTACCATTGCAGCAGCCTTTTAAATAATAAAAAATATATATATCACATGTAAATTTACGCAAGAAATAACACAATTCGATCGAAAATTACTTGCAAAACAGTTGTTCCAGGAACGACGTGCACAGGGATGTCATCAACAAAAACTTCTATTTTTTCCGGTGCTTTGGCTGGTGTTTGAAATTGTTTCGCGGAAGTATGCAATTGCAATGCCGCTAAATTTGCTAACCGCGCCGGAGATTGGAGCTTTAATGCTTGAATTAGCGGCGTTCTAATCATTTTGTCTTGAAATCAAGAAACGTAATTAATATAATTAGTATTAAAAAGAACGCAATATAAAATTTTAATTTTATATGATTTTGACTATCTAATTACATAAGAATTAGATTTTTCTATAACCCCTTTATAAAGTAATGGTAAAATAAAACTACGATAATATAAGTTTTTTTCAATAAATTTGAAAAATTACTAAAGCGAAATTTACTTCCATCAAAGCATTTTTAGGGAAAATTTTTAATAAAAAATTACCTTCAAAATGTGCCTACAAATTTCTAATTGTAATTTTTTTTCTACACAGCTGACAAATCACAATATGAAATTTTATTGACAAAACATTAACGCAAGTAACTTTTGACATTTAATTTCTTAAACTACGAAAATAGAAAGTCAAAGAGTACTGCCAAATTATGCTTTAATTTTCTTTGATTTCTTTTTATTGCTAGCCTTTTATTGCTAATCTAGTCAGTGAATAAAATGTGTCTTAAATTTGTATTTTATGTTATCCATTATGTTAGTCATATACCTATACTTATTTAGCATGTACTTTAAATATACATTTTTTATTATAAATTTACCATATGTAGTATTTATTGATAAAAATATATTATTAAAATCTTGTAAAGACAATAATTTCAAAGGAATGAAATAAATTAGAAAAATATTGAAGGGGTATTCCACTTAAAATATATTATATTATAGTTCTTTTATCATAGAGATACTTTATATGTATGAACATATTATGTAACTTTTCACAAATATACATGTGCACTTTTTGATTATCCTAAGACTAAATTCAATTTTATCCAAAGATTAAAAAACCTACTTTAAAACAATACGAACTAATAAAACTGTCAATAGAAAAACTATTTTAGACTTGAAATAAATAGCTCAGTTCCAAAAGCGAATATACTTTAATCGATTAAAAAATATGACGAATTCTACTGCGAGTGTAAAAACTTACCTCGCACAAAGCCAAAGCAATAAATAGAATAAAAACAATTTGAGAAGAACAAGTTCGCATTATCGATTAGAGATGTATATATACACACGATAGTGTAATTAGCTACGTTTACATAAATGGTTGTAATAAACGTTTACATACTTTTCTTGCACAAAAACACAAATTTAATTTGTTTGCAGGTTGAATGAAACGTATTTCAATCATTGATGCAAGAGTCATCATGTAAACGCAGCTATTATCAGGTAGTTATAGCAAATTATAGTATGTAAATAATGTTAATACTAACAATTTATTTTATAACATGTACATATACAATTTTAAAAATCCTGTTTTGTTTATAAAAGTATTTTTACTAAAACATGTTCCAAAATATTAAAAATTAGAACGAAAAATCAATAGTTAAAGCAATTAGATTAAAATTCGTAACGTAATTTTCATTTTACGTTAATATAATGACTAAGAGTATTTCATTTTTATAAATTTGAAATCATAAAATCGATTCTTATTTTAAAAACTTTATTAAGAGAATAATAAACCCTTTACAACAAAATGTAATACTTGAATTATAACTTTTTCTGGTCTAAATATTATTTGTTATTTACATATATATGCTGTAAACAAAAATCTATAAAACTTATTTTTCTTCGTTATCTTTTAAATCTTTTTCTGTCGAAAGAGGTTCTCCCAAAACATCGGAATTATTTTTCTCTAGCGTTCCAACTGTATTTGGTTCTTCACTTTTTAGGTCATCTTGTTTGTCTTGTTTATCTTGTTTATCTTGTTTATCTTGTTTATTTATTTCTCCACTACTACCTTTTTCATAGTTTTGGAAAAGGTCTTTATTTGCTAAGTCTGAATTTTCCCTCGTAAATAAACCCATTTTAGGTTCTTCTGTCTCTTTACTTGGATTTTCTTCAACGTTTGGAATGGAGTCGGCATTAGTTTTATACAAATTGCGGTCAGAACTATCTGGACCTCCTACTAAATGCGTTGGTATATGAGCATTTGCTGCAGCATAATTTGTAGATTTTCTAATTTTTTCTGCTTTTCTCCAAAGTGTAATTTCTTGTTGCTTAAAATAACGTCGATCTTCAGTATCCATAAGAACTAAATTCAAAAAATATTTTACGGACATTTTTTTATTAATGTCTCTCATAGTTGGGGTTAAATCATATCCAGCAAGAAATACTCTAATTGGTATACTCTCGCCTTTAACAGGTGCTCCATCCATAATTTCATATTTCGCTATTGTCTCATTTTCTGTAAAAGTATTTGGTCCAGATCCAGTTGTCTCCCGTTTAATTATAGCTATTTCCATGTGTTTTATTTTAATTCTGACCAGTAAAAAATATATCTTTCCAACAATAACGTCTTTTAAATGATATTTCGATTTATTATATTCGAATTCAATATGTAGACAATCTTCAATACCTACTTCCATTTTAATAGGATTATTCATATCTGGATAACTACAAAGAGTATGAACCGCAAAATCAACCTCTCTCACAATATCACTTAATCGACGTATAATAGTTACACGAAGGAAATACCTTAAACGAACATTTGAACCCACATATACCTCGAACGGTTTTTCAACGTTTGGGAAATCAAACGGATAACTAGTATTTTGAATTAAATCACCTGGTCTAGCAAGCTCTTTTACAAGAGATAAAAATTCATAATGATTTCCTCTATCATAAAATAGTTCAATTTGACCAATAAGCTCAATTTTTATGCCTTGATGCTCCAGTTTACTTCCAGGTTTCTTTAAAGTAATGTTAACTTTACCCGATACGCTTTCTCCATCATAATATAATAAATATTTTTCCTTTTTTCCATCTTCAGTTTTGATTTCCGCATACTTTCTATTTTCAGCCCCATCAAACGCAACATCGACTTCTGCAGATTGACCAAACCCAAGAAAATTCATTTCAAAACAAGAATTCTATCGATTAGTGAAAAATTTGTGGAACCTATAGTATAAATTAATTAATATAAAATTAATTATATGTATTAAAAATGTATAATTAATATTTTTTAAGAAATTTTACCTTTTGTATTTAGAGTATTTCCAATGTGGATAATTGTTAGTTAACAAAATTTTGTTAAAATTTTAACGTTCATAAATATTAAAAGAAGTCAATATTTCTTTGAAACTAATAATTAGAAATAAGAGTTATCAACACAACACCGCCTCAAATTTCTTTTCATTGAGATTAAAATATGACAATTTTTTAATTGTCAAAAAGTCAATGACGTTCAATTTATTGTCACTATGACTTTTAAACAGCTGAGTGAAATGAGAAAAGAGTGTGTTAGCAGCTCCGAAGAACTGTCATAAATGTAGTCTATATAGCTAAATTTCATTAGGTCTACTTGTTTCATGCACTTCACACTTCATTACTATACCAAATTTCCATTTGAGTTTTAATTTCAGCGACTAAAAAACAAGCTCAAAAATATAAAAATTGTATTTTGAACACCAATATATGTATTTGAGACCCGTAATTTTAAAAATTCCATTGACTGGTCCAAACTATTCAAGAATAGTTAAATATCGTCAGATAAAATTTTTGGGTAGGAAAAATTTATGTTTCCCATTCTCACTCAGAGCTATTAATTGACCTTCGATAAAATTTGCATCAAATTTTAATTTCTATTATAAAAAAAAATTAATAAAAATAGAAAAAAGGAAAGACCAAACAAAGGAATTCTATGATGAAGAACAAGTAATATGTATGTACACACTTTTTTCTTCTTAAAATCAGTGTTGCCATTTTGGTATCTTAAAAACGTTTTATTTTATTTGATAGCTTTTCCGTAAACTTTTAAATTCTTGATACTGATATTTTTTTTTAAACTTGGAATTTTGTTGTTTGAAAATTTCATTCTTCTTGGAAAATAACACTTTTTTTAGTAAAGACATTCTTAAAGAAATTATTGTTTTTCATTATTAAAAAAAAGAAACTAAATGCTTACAGACTTAAATTTTATAAGTGCAAAATTTAAAATTTTCAAGGAAATTTTTGTAATTTTGTGTAGTAGTTTCATTAAAAATGTTTTGATTCAAAGATTATCATTATCATTCAAAGATCATTAAAAATGTTTTGATTAAGGGATCGATAAAGATTAGTCTATTAACTGACTGCGACGCAGTAATATTATCTATATGGGCTATTCTATAAGAAAATTATAACAGCAAATTGCGGGTAACAGTAAAACATTGCGTATAAATTTTAAAAGAGCGGTTTTTGATTTCAAAATAATTGAAATGCGGCTTAATTCTGATACAAACCACGAAATCAGTTGCAAAATCAGTTGGTTTCATGATTTTGAAGCAAACGATGGAACGATAGTAGATATTGATATTTCAAATAGGACAAGGAAAATAAAAAGACAAAATAATTAAATAATAATTTAAATTAGGTCAACTAATTTAATAAACGGTTTTATTATAAAAAAAAATATTTCATTTTTCAGCAGGTAACAGTATTTCATAAATGCATGCTATACGTAATATACAATTTTTGTAAAATTACACATTTTTATTTTGATTCATATAGGTATTTCAGATCAAGTTGTTCAAGTTCAGGTCTGTTGTTTAAGTTCAAGTTCTTTTAGTTCAAACTCTTGCCTTATTTTTAGTTCTTCCAGTTTCAATTTTTTCTTATATATTCTACTTATTATATTTTAATCTTTCTTTTTCGAGATGAATCTTCATCTTTTGCTGTTTCGTTCAGATTGAAATAATCCGAACTCACTCAAAGCTAAGGGCTATTTTCTTTTAAAAAAATTTTTTGGATGATAATTTTTTCTCTGTCTTAGAATTTGTGATACATCTTTCATAAAAAATACCTCATTGTCACATTCAAAATTTTGAGAAGTGTCGATATCTAATATATCCTCAGCATCTCTAGTATCTCCGCTGTCTAATACAAAATCGTTTAGTTCACCTTCTTTTCCAAAAATTGACTGCAATTGCTTGAAGTAATTGCACATTTTTTTTATTTTGTCTAAAAAGAGAATTATAGAATAACAATACCTCCATTAACAATAGCGCATCCCTTGATTTCTTCAACTCCTCCTGTAGTTTATAACCATTTCAAACACTTTTTATAGCTTTTTTTTAAATGTCTCATCTTCCACTTTACAAGAATCCACTGAATATTTATATTATTTTCTCACAAAAATCTGTTATAATATATCTGATATGTTGGTTTCTTTAAAAGTAAAAATAATTAGATACGCTATAATTTAACTGTTCACATGCTAATAATATTGTAACATACATACATACAAATTAGGTTGTTTTTATTTTTAGAGATTTACAATTTTATTTTTCTACAATCTTACAATTAGAGAATGCAAATAAAATATTAAGGTTTTTTATGTTTTGCAACTCTTTATCCGTCCATTTTCTATATTGCACATTCTTCCTCTTCATGAACTTATGCTTCACACTACTACTGTTTTTAGCATAATTGTTATTTTCATTATTTTTACTCTATTCGTTATCATCATGAAATATTTTAATTTCCCTTTTAATTTTTACTTTACGAGCTGACATTTTGTAAAAAATACACAGCAAACAAAAAAATAAAATATTTAATAATATAAAGTTTTGTCGAGGTAAAAATGTATTACATAGTCACAAATTGAATAAAAGGAAAAGTTTGCCGTTAACAACTATCTTTAACCAACAGTGTTAGAATGGATATTAGCATTTTTAATGACGAATTTAATAAAAAGTTTTAAATTTAGTTTTGTGTTGAAATATTATGTATACTTGTACATTTTTTGACTTTGTTGTTTTAAAAAGGTAATGAAAAAGTTCTAAATACAGAACAAAAGCGGTTTTTCTTCAATAAGTAATCCATATCGAAGTTCCATATTATGTATAAAAGCTTCCATAAGTAATTCATATCGAAGTTCAAAATTTCAATTGCAATTTTCGAAATTGTTTCTGCCATTGTTTCCTCAAATTACAAATAAATCAAACATTTTTAAAACTTTATTAGGATAAAGCTTTTCAAAGTGCGTATGAAGCGCATAAAATATATTACCAAAAATAAAAGTATTTTATTCCGAAGGAAAATGAGTTTTCTTTTCATACACCTAAAAAAAAATTTTTTATGTTTCGAAAAAATATCAATATTTTCAATAATTGTTTTTGAACCGCTGAGAAAAATTTTGATAATAAAATGCGTTCTGAGTACATTTTTATTTTCTCCAACTGAAATTGCGATCACTTAAATTATCTTAAGGATTGTGTTGGTTTCATAATTCCGTCTTCCAAATCAAAAAGGCATTAGCGAGTCCCTAAAAACAAAAAGTACTGATAAAAAACATTACACTCTTAAGCATATTTCTTTTTTAATTGCTGTTTCCTTGAAACTCATGTACAAATATTATCTTAGTAACAGTCTTATTTTTATAATAAATCAATTAACATTTTATATTATTTATTGTGCCTTCTTATTCGAATTTTTTGGATGATCATTTTTATCTTCAAGATAAGCTATGTAAGCATAAAAACCAATAATCAAATTTACGACAACAACAGCCGCCAAGGTTGACCAGCAATTATTCTCAAAACCATCAATATGGTAATATTCGTCTAGCCAATGCTTTACAAGAAAAAACGCCGCAAAAGGTAATGTGAACATCATTATGCTGCATATTATTAACCAAAAATAAACTTTTCCTGTGCCTGATAAATCTGAGCTATCATAATTATTTGATTCATCTGTTTCCTTTAGAGTTGGTTCCATTTTTATTTTTCTAGTACATTTATCAATTTTTGCTATTTTAGAGTGACTTCTTTTGTTAAATATTGACACTACCCATTAATCATAATATTAAATATAGCAAATGAAAACTAATAAATTAAAAAACAATTTTTAATTTATTTTGAAAACTTAGATTTTGCAATTTGTAAACAAAAAAATGTCATGTGATAATAAAATAAAATTTTGTACTAGAGATGGGAAAAACGCTTTAACAACTGCAATATATTTTAAGCTTTATTAATAAATAAAATGAGCGTATTAAGAACACGTTCACACTTATTCTAGATGTACGTATGTTATGACACATTTTGTATTAATTTTTTAGAAATATAACTGGGCTTAAACACAACTTATGATTTATACTATAACACAACTTATAATTTATTCTAAGATTAATTTTTTTTCAAAAAAAAATTTATCTACTAAATGCGCTATTGCGTATTCAAATGCATGAAACATACGTAAGACTTTTGGGTATATTGTGCGCAAAATTTAACAAATTCGTTTTGTCTTAAGAAAGCCTTAACGTTTTAACTCCTTAAAAGCCGATTTTAAAATTTCTATTTTGTAATCAAATAAAAGTGAGTTCTTATTTATTTAAGACCTAATGTTTTTTGAAAATAATTTTGACATGTAAACTTGATCCTATATAAACTTGTTGCTCTAATTATCTAATTCTAAACTAAAGTACTTTTATTATGTTGTCAATATTTTTGCTAAATAGAATCAACAATATGACTAACAATATTATTAATATTTTTAGTCATATTGTTAAAGTATTTTTAAAAACCATAGCTGACTCCCACTAAGATGGATATGTGAGTGGGTATAATAAGCATTATTATTTTCCATAATTTCTAAACAGATAACATGAAAACTACATAGACTATTTTGGATTAGGCTGCGTTATGCGTAAGATACCTAGGGCAATTAAGTTTATATTCCTTAATTTTAAGTTACTGCTTATTTTTGTAAAAATCAACTCAAAATGTTTTTCGAAAAGGAGTTTATACTTTTAAATTTTATGTTTGCGCTTTACATATAACCACATCGATTCGATATCAGAAAAAAAAACAATAAAAAAATCAGAAAACAAATATATCTAAATCAGAATCAAAAATTCCAATACTCGTAGCTCATTTCGATCGCTCAATTTAAAATTTATGTATATGATAATATTTTGACACAAAGCTACGCATCATGCATTCATTTAGACCGGTTCCTCCATTGCGCCATAGCTTTTAAAAAACGCAAAATGGAGATCGCATACAATTAACGATCGTGATCATAATTTCAAAAAAGCTTTTATTCTGTTCTTATTCTTTTAGTAAATTGATAAACTTTGCTTCTTGTTCTATAAATTATAATCAGTGCCATTTAATTCGTCAATTTATTAAGAAAAAGAAAAAAAGCTTAGTTGACGTAAATAATAAAATTAATATTGTTTTTACCTCGTGTTTTATTGTTTTTAAAACACTAATATAAATTGCATTTATATATACAACATAAATTTTGTGTTATAATTAAATTTTATTTTTTATTTTTATTATGGCATTCAATTTAACTCGTGGTAGCACTCATATTTTAAAAAAATGTTTCCAAACAAAGTTCTTTAATTATAAAAATGTTAGTAGATACTTCTAAGTATACTTTATTAATTTTAGTATAATATCTATATAATTTTTGAAATTTATTATTTAAAACATATTGAAATTAAAATTTATTCGTATAGCAACTGAATAATGTAAAAATTAAAAAAAAATATTAATCGCAAAATGTACTTATGTATATACATTAGTTTATGTTTCATATTGGGAAGGCAAATTTAAGAAAGTTACATAATATATTTTAGTCTGGTGAGCAAATTAAACGAATATGCAAAAATATCTACACAAATACATAATACATTGTGTTTATATGAAAATACGTATTTAACATTATATATATCTACATACTTGTGTATACATATAAACAAACATGCTATTTGAAATTGTGTTCAAGTACAAATTGAAAAGAATTAAAATTTAAAAATAATATGTATGTACCTACATATATATATGTACATCTTTATTTTGAGCTTTAATTCTACAAAATAGATACATTTTTCTTTAAATGACACAACTGATAACAATATAAATATAAATTTATCTCAAATACATATATATTATATATGTATACATAACGTAATAATTGTCAAAATTGATAAGAGTTGGCCGGCTAAAATTTTTATAATTGTTTACAATAACAAACTCATCTGCGTGGCTGTTTACAATTCTAAGCAAAAAAGAATTTATGTATACGATTATATGAACAATAATCTGTTTACTTAATGTGTAGTGTGTAGTGTTTCTCTGTTATTGTTTTAATAAATAAACATTACGTACCTTATTAATAATGAGTTGAATTAGAATAGTAAAACGGTAAAACAGTAAAAATAATACAATATAACATTATTGTAATAGGAACAAAATAAATAATATCAGAATTGTTTGTGATGAAAAACAAGAGCGATGAACAATTTTCACTTATGATCACTGTAAAGGAAAAATTTGATTGCATTGAATGACTGGAACGATAGAAGTAAACAAATAGAAGTAAATAAATAGTAGTACTGTTTTGCAGTATACTTAAATATTTTATTTTTCAATGTTGTACATTATGTTAATTTAAATTTTTTAAATGAGTTAATCAAATTCAATAACAGGGTTTTCAATAAAAGTTTCGGAACTCGAAGCTATGGTTGGCTCTCTGGAGACCATAGTTTATTTTGAGCAAACAATTTTGTTGTTATAAGAGTGAAAAAATCGGTAAACAAATCACAAGTAAAATTTGCAGGCACTAAAATTGATTTTTTTTGTATAGTCTATTTTTCTTTGAAAGTGAAGGAAAAAACGTTCCAATCAAGACTGAATGTGGAGAGGTGGACATACATATATCGTTTTTTTGTGACTATCTGCTGAATTATGTAAAGTTAACCAACAAATACATAGTTTCAAATAGAGCAATACCACTTTGAAAAAATTACTTTATTGTATAAAAAGTTTAACGAATTAAGCATATCGTGATGTACTCCTTGTGGCTTGCAACTAGGAAATTAATATTCATTTCTGCATTCATTAGACAAAGGTCTCCAATATAGCATATAGTGAATGAAAATCAGGATTATCTGTTTCGTTATTTTTGTCGAACAATATTAATATACATAAGTAAATTTAACTGAATTCCAATTGATATGTACCAATTTATATAATGTATGTTCTTAGCTTCGTTTTTAATTGATTATTAATCATTCTTGGGTTAGATCTATGAAAAAAAATTTAATTTAAACAATTTCATTTTTTTCTACTTCGTAAAAATCGTTGTTTATTTTTGAAAATAATTTTTCTGAGATTATAAATTTAGGATAAATTCAATTACGTTTAAATTATTAAAAAATTTAATACACTTAAATATTTAATTATTATATATTAAAATATACATATATATTTAAAAAATTCTACCCCAAAATTGTCTATATTGATTCATATACACAATATTTTCAGTTTGAGGTTCTACTAATTTTAAAGGCTTTCTTTCTTGAGCTTGTAAATTAGCTGGCAGTCCAGATAATAAAACATTATCAGACCTATAATAAACTTTTTGTAATAATCCATTTGGCAATTGCACATAATAGAATCCATATTGTGGTAATACAACTGGATCTTGTTGAGCTGGTTGATCAGCATTGACATTATCGATATCATTTTCATTCGTTTCATCAATTTCGGTTTGATTTTTTGATGGTAAATATCTATTACTTGGCGGTAAATAAATTGGAGCTGATGTAGTTGGTGGTCCATATTTTACACTCGGTATATTTTTTTCAATTTTTTCTTCTTGAGGAAGTTCAAAAGATCTACCTTGTGGTTTCCAACCAAGTGGAGGATATGGTCCTTCTTCTTCTGTCATTGAAATAGTTGTAGTTTCTACAATATTTTCAGTCGTTGTGATTATTTCAGATGGTAAAGGAAATGCTCGACCAGGTCTAAATCCAGATTCAGGATATGGTGTTACATCTTCTGATGTTTTATTTAAATTAGTTGTAGAATTTGTTGATGATTGGCGTGGAAGTCTTTTACTTTCGAACGAGTATATCACATTTATGCATACGAATAAAATTAAACCCTTTGAGTATATCATTTTAAAAATAAAAAAAAAAATATTTGATTTTTAACCAGAACCGTAAAACTAAAACAAATATTTGGAACTAATTAAAAAATTTTTATTAAATCGATATTTATATTGAAAATTTATGCAGGAAGTTTTTCAGAAATGATCTAATTTGACATTGTTCACATTTAAAAAAAATTATTAAAACAAAAATATAAAGAATAGAATTATGACCTTTTTATTAATATTAATATATTAAAATGTGATTTGGCCTATTTATGATTTATTTAATTCTAATTCTGTTTTTGGGCATCGATTTTATTTAATTACACTATAAACAATTAAACAATAGAGCTTTATTGAGCCTATAATTACGTTTTCAATTTTAAAGTTCAATGAATTTATTGAATGTTAAAAATATAGTCACGTTTGCAATTTTATTCATATATTTTTATTCATAAAAATATGCATGTTTGTAAATGAGAATTTTATAAAATTATTTTACAATAATCATTATTGTAAAATTTAATTCACAAAAAATTAATATAAGTAGTGGCAAAAACATTTTCGTTACATTTTAATTAAAATTATGTACTCGATTGATTCATAAATGTGTCGTCACCTATTAAAGAATAATACATATAAAAAAATTACAATATAACATAATTTTTTTTTAAATTTAAATGTTTTAAATTAAGTGTTCGATACTTATTTGTGTATATTTGTATTAATTTTGATGTTTTTCGCAATTTTTCATCGTAATCATCACAAATAATCATGAACTTATTGTTCTAAGACCTTGAAGCCTGCGCTTCAGTTAAGGTGTTGTCACAAAACATATTATAATTTAACAAATTATATTTAATAATTTACTTTAAATTATCAACCAGTATTCTTTTCAAACAATTTTTTCTCAATTGCTTATAATTTAATAATATATCCGTCCTTTTAATTGTTATATTATACATAATATAATCTCGCTATTATATTAATATTGTTAGTCTCGTCTGCTAATCAATTAAAACTTTTGGTATAAATAGGTACCAACATATTTTTAACATTTAACGGACGGACCCGTAGATTTACGTTTTCTCTTTCTCTTTTTATGCACATTGGGTTTTCTCTTATGCACATTGTTATCTTTTCTTAATACTATTATTTAAAGTACTATCTGCCTGTTGTTCCTACGGCGTAGTTTTGATTTTAGGAAATATTTCTAAATAATTTTATAACGGTAAAAATGACAAGCAGCAAAGAGTTTTTAGTAAACTTATCGGGATGTGATGTTGAGTTTGGGAACCTTGATGAAGAAAGTGATGTTTCAAGTGATGAAAGCGAATTTTTATCTCCCAAGAAACAAAAAATTCAACGTAGATTATCGTCTTCAGAGAGTGAATTTGAAGATAGTGAATTAAATAGAAAAGAATGGACATCTCAAGACAAGTTAATGTCTCTAGAACCATTTCTTGGTTCTACTTGGGTACAACAAATACCCAATAATCCAACGTCTATTTCTGAGTGTGTTGAGTTATTTATAAAGGACGTGACTAGTAATATGAATATTTTTAAGTAATCATTTTTGATACGATATTACAGCATTATTACAGCCAAAATGAGATCACACTATTTTTACAATATAACATGTAAAGTGACAATAGATATTTGGACCATTCATAAGTTAGTATACATAAAAGTAATTTAATTTAATTAATTATATGTACTATAATTAATTAATTAATTTTTGTAATAGCTACAATAGCCTACTTATCACATTTAAAATTTTCTATATGTGATGATTTTATCGCAAGAATAAACTAATATCTCCAGCATATGTTAAGGTTATCTTAGGATTCAATTATTAAGGTCGATTTGTGGTAAATCGAAATATGTATTTCAAGATTTATCATGTCTTACTGTCAATTGAGAATCAATTGATATTACATTCATTCGATAATTCAATTAATGAATATTATAATCATTCGATACTACTTTCATTTAATAGTAAAATACTTATAGACAGTGATTAACTCTAATTTTCTAATGCTGTACAGTGATTTTAATACAATTTTTTAAGGAGTTGCCGTGTAATTCTTGTATCATTTCTTGTAATTTGATTTGTTGTTGTATACAGTTATATTGTTTCTATCTGATGTCAACCCATTTAAAAAATTTATTTACTTTTATCATTTAAATATGGCGTGTTGGAAATCACAAAGTTTGGATGAAATATGTATACCAAAGTACCATAATTTTCACTGAAAGAAATGCATATTATGTTGATTAGTCTAAGCTATAGCAATATTAATTTAGCATAAAAGAGAATTACAAAAAAAAGCATTAAATAAAGTTCAAATAAATTCTTCAATGGTTGGCAATTTTTCCGAAACGAAAAATTTTTTTTAGGTGTATGATAAGAAAACTCCGTTTTATTCGGAATAAAAAACATTAAATAATGCAAAATTAACTTTTTTTTATAAATATTTAAATAAAATTTACAAAATATTTTTATTTACTTGGTTATTGATTTATTTTTTTTTTTTTCAATAAAATAGGAAAATATAAGTGTAAAATATTAAGTATAAAATACAAAATCAACAATAATTTCTTTAAAATTTTCAATTAAAATCCTCTCACTAACGAAAATCCATTTACTGGATTTCGTCGTAATTTTTCAGATTTTTTAAAAGCTGATAACGGTTGAGCAACAATTTTTACGGGTGAATTTTCTGCTGGTGAAAATATTATCTTTTGTAAACTGCCATCTGATAGACGAACAAAATATGAACCATGTTTTGGTATTTCTCCATCATTAACAAGTGATGCAGCATCAATTGAAATAGAATCTGGATCCTCAATTTCAATATCATTAACATCTGGAGAATTAACAACAGGTGGTCCGTATGAGTTTGATGGTGGTCCATATTTTAAATTTGGTTGAATTTGTCGTTCTTCTATTTCTGTTGGTAAAAGAAAAGAACGTCCACTTGGTTTCCATCCGGATGGTTGATAAGGTCCACCTAATGATGGTTTATTTGAAGCTGTTGTTGTCGGTTCTGGTTCATTATTTGATAATGTTGTTATTTCTTCGGGTGTTGCTTGTGTTGTTGTAGTTAAAAGTTCTTGCCTTTCGAATTTTTGTTGAGATGTTCTTAAACGAGACGAAGATCTGAGTCTAGCTGCATTAGAATTTACTATGCTTAAAATTGCAATCAAAATAAAAATTTTTAAATTAAACATATTTGGGAACGGATTAAACAATTGAAATGTTCAAGTTTTTCTAAAAGAATAAATTTTTATAATTTTTGCATTTGACTTTTATAGTCAGTTAAAATTTGGTCAAAATTACTTTTTTCTTAATTAAAATGCTATGAACATTTATTGATTTTATAAGTTAAAAAGATTTTGTTTACTTAATATTATTGTTTTTGCTTTAAATTTGAAGAAGTTTACATACGTATTTTGTAGAACTTTAATATTATTGATATTATAGACGACCTTTTATTATTTTAAAAATTTTTGACATGTTTTAAAATTTATTTGAAAATTTATTCACTTTTTTTTTCTATTACTGTTTTGCTTCTTAAGTCTTTTTTTTTCTTTAATTTTCTTTTCCAAATTTTATTATTTGAATACCTATAGATTAAATTAAAACTTATTCAAGGGTCAAAGTCATGTTATTCATCAATAGAAAACAAAACAAAAAAACATAAAAGAATTACAAGTTTCTACTATCGGACCTGATACGAATTTTAAATAGAATTTTAGAATTGGTGAAGTAAAAACCAAATAATTAAAAATCGAAAGCAAAATATTATTGTATACATGCATAATATGCATATTATGTACACAGTATCACAAAAGTGGCTAATTATTTATTTGAAATTAAATTGTGGAATACATATAATATTTTCAGAGGAATATGGACTATGGGTAGTAATAATAAAAGGTGCAAATACAACTCAATGGTATATTTTACCTACATTAACATATACATAATTATAATTATCTTTTACCAACAAGGTTAATTAAATTTATCCATAGTATAGCTTATTCTCAAATAGAATAATAGTCAATATTTTTTGAATCAGCAACACGTATACATATTCATTAATTGAATGCATATTTCGTTTTGTAAGCTACGCTAAATATGAAAAATTAGGTATCATTTAGTTTTTGGCAATTTTGTGTAGTAAAATATACGTACTTGTACTTACTTAGCACGTATACATAAGTATAAACGCTATTTAATTTTCATAATGCATTTGAGATGAGTAAAGGATATAGAAAATATCAAGGATTTTCGAAAAAAAATTGGCTAATATAGGCAAATTATTGTGATAATGAATAATTTTCAAACTGAGGTGCACAATTTAGATTTTACATTAATATATAATATTAAATATACGTATAAATACACGTACATATTACTTCAAAAAAAGTTTGCGTTAGATTAGATTAGGCGGCCCCCCGAATGGTACAATGAGCTCATTTAGGCCGGCTCAGGTACCACCGAATCCTTCCACTTTCCCTCCATTAGAATAATCCCGAACTCCGTTCGCTAAGTCCGTAGCTCGCTGAAACAAGCAAGAACCAAGAAAATTCTATTTTCAGTCCGGCAGCGCCACACATTTCCTTCTTCACCGTTTCCTTCTCCTTTTTGTCATAGGCAGCTCCTACAGAAATCGTTCGTGGGGTGGACCATACTTCTGGTATGTCCGTCAATCAGACAACTCTAACAATAACAACAAAATACAATAAATGCTCTAATAAATGTTTTCATACGTGCATAATCATATATTTTTAAAATCTTGTAGCTACAAATAAAAAAATTAAAATATCTAAGAAAAGAAATTCATATACACATACATAAATATTTTAATATAAAATTTATTCTGGTTCTTTTACTAATATTATAGGTTCTTCATCTCTTACAACTGGTTCACCATCTAATTTTTTAATTGTTGGTAAACGTTTGATACATTCAGCACGGAATGAAGGCTCATCCATACCTTCTGTTAAAGGATTTCCAACTAAAAGAAGATCTTCTAATGTTGCGATTTCAATCAACTTATTGAATTCAGACCAATCTTTTAGTAAATTATTACTCATATATAAAACTTTAAGAACTTTTAAACAATTTAATCCTTTTAATTTTTCAATAAGATTGTAACTAAGCCAAAGTTCTTCTAGTGTTTCTGCTACAGATTCCTAAAAATATACATAATAATAAATTCATATTCTTTTCAGTAAAAAGTTTTTTTTTGCTGATGTTTTAACGAACCAAACCCGATATATTTTTAATATAATTTCTTGATAAAGATAAAATTCGCAAATTTTTCATGCCACTCAAACCATAAATTTTTTCTATCATATTAGTTGATAAACTGAGAAATTCACAATTGACTAAATTTCCTAAAGTGGCATCCATCTTTTCAATTGGTGGCCATTGAAATTGAAGATCAATTTCCTTAGCTTCTGCTGAATTTTGATGTGTACGATCCTCCCATCTTTTAAGAGCTTCTTTAATTGTTGTAGCTTTCGACATTTGTATAAGTAAATCGAAATTTTAAAATTACTGTGGCAAATATGTACATGTACTGATAATGAAATAAAATTATCGATCAAACTTACGTTTTATGTAATGACAACAGTATGATAAAATACTATATAAAAATTGAAGTAGTAAAGGTTGCTATGGGTTTATGCCGATTTTAAAATAAGTAATTTTAATAAATAAGTAAAAAATTATACAAATTTTTGAAATATATAATACTGCGAAAATGTTTCTTGAGAAATATCATATTTTTAGGTGGCACATTTAGACAAAAGGAATTTACATTTAAGTCCCATTTTACAAAGGATAATCTCATTTAATTTAAGTGACATTGGTGAAGGAATACGTGAAGTAACTGTCAAAGAATGGTAATTTAAATACCTGTATATTCTTATATGTATATATATATATATATGTAAATATATGCAAATCAATACACAAATATACGCAAATTAAGAATTATTGTGATTTTAATTTATGTGAATTAAATTTTTATTTTAGGTTTGTTAAGGTTGGTGATACCGTAGAACAATTTCAAAATATATGTGAAGTGCAATCTGATAAAGCTTCAGTTACTATAACTTCAAGATATGATGGAAAGATTGTCAAACTTTATCATAAAGTAGATGAAATTGCTTTAGTAGGACGACCACTTGTTGATTTTGATATTGATGATGAGGATCACGAAGGCTCAGAGTCTAGTGAAGAATCAAGTACAAGCGGTAGTGAATCTGATAAAGAAAAAGGCAGCTTAAGTGATACCGACCACCACCACCATCATCATCGTCATAAAATCTTAGCAACGCCCGCTGTACGTCGTATTGCCATGGAAAACAATGTTGATTTAAACAAAGTTCCTGCTACAGGAAAGTTAGGAAGGGTATTAAAAGGAGATATAATGGAATATTTGGGAATGGTACCTCAGGGAACAAACAAGCCTCATCCAACTTTGCTTCAAAAACAGCAAGTTGTTGGAACCCGTGTGCCGGCACCTGATCGTATTGAAGCTTTAAAAGGTGTTCGGAAGGTTATGTTAAAAACAATGTCAGAATCATTGGTAAGTTTTCCACTACATTTTTACATTATTTTTAACATCATAACTATAATTATTTTGCAGAAAATCCCACATTTCGCGTATTGTGACGAGATCAATATGAATAAACTAATTGATTTTCGGGACCAATTACAAGAGCTTGCCCAAGAGCGCGGTGTTCCTAAGCTAACATTTATGCCGTTTTTTGTTAAAGCTGCATCAGTCGGATTAACAAAGTTTCCAATTCTCAACAGCGTTCTGGACGTTGAAAATGAAAAAGTTATGCTTAAAGGTCCTCATAATATAAGTGTCGCCATTGCTACCCCGCAAGGTCTAGTTGTCCCCAACGTGAAAAACTGCCAAAGTAAAACAATTTTAGAAATAGCAAAAGATTTTAATGATCTTGTAGAAAGGGGTCGAACAGGACATTTACATCCTCCTGATTTTGCTGACGGAACATTTACTTTATCGAACATTGGAAATGTAAATTAAATTTAAAGAAATTTCGATATATAATTTTATTTAGTCACGTTTAAAATATTGTTAGGTTGGAGGTACTTATACCCATCCATGCATTATGCCACCTCAAGTTGCAATCGGAGCGATGGGGAAAACTCAGGCATATTATTTAAATTAGTTTTTAATTCTTTACAGAAATAAATGATTGTTTTGTAGGTTCTCCCACGGTTTGGAGCTAATGATGAAATAGTTAAAGTAAATATAATGAACATTAGCTGGTGTGCTGATCATCGTGTAATCGATGGTGTTACTATGGCTAATTTCTCTAATACTTGGAAGAAATATTTAGAAAACCCAGCTCTATTTCTATTAACAGATGAGCAATAACTTCTTTATTATGTTTATTTTTCAAATTACAGGAATTTTTAACAAATTAATTATTTTTATGTGAAAAACATAAAATGAATCAAATTCATAGATATAAGGCTGTTATAATGCATTTATAATGTTAAGATGATTTTATATTGCAAATGTAAATGAATTCAAATACATAATATGTTCATACATGCATATTAAGTATTTAGCTGAAATTGTAAAAAAAAACAAATTTTTTATAGCTAAAATAGATAGTGATCTACTTACATATTACTTACATAATATGTAAGTAGATCTTATATGTAAGTATGAAAGTAGATCTACTTATATGTATATTTTTTCGAATGGGTATTTTTATATTCATTTTTTCTTTCTAAATACATATTATGTACATAAGACTTTTGTTTTATTTTTATAAGTATCAATTAGGTCCAGCTCAGAACAATTCTTTAAAAGTCAATGATTTGTAAGACACAAACCCGTATTGTTGCCTGCAAATAATAAGTCTGTCTGGGTCTGGGGTAAAATTTGCAAAAAGTTTAACAATTGAAACAATGACGAATTTTCTCACAAAAAGAAAAAAAATATGAAACTTAGAAAAAACCTTGTATGATCCCATTTTGGTTATTTTATTATAGTTTTAATTGAAAAAGAGAATGTCATCACTTTCTTTCATTTTTATTCAAAAAGTATTATCCCAGACAGTTTGCATGCAAAAATTTTATGTAGTTTTTAAAAGTTTTTCAAAACTTGCTTATCCCAGACAGATCTAATTTTATCTAGTTTTATTTGGCGTTTGCCTTGTTTACCGATCTAAGCGAACGGTTATTTTTACTAAAAACATTTTTATGTTACACGTACATGGGGTCCTATCGTATATTGCTATATTTGCAAATATGCATACACATTTAGAAAGTGACACCACGCAGCGTACAAAACACGCATACGTATGCGTATGCGTAAGCAGTAAATTTGCTTTTATTTGTTACTTGCGCGTATTTTTTTTGACATCTGCATTGATCGTCCAATGTTGTATTTTGTTTGCGATATGCTTAATTATGTGTATCATACAATTTTATGTTTTATTTTTCGAAAACTTTTATAAAGAAAAATTGCGTTACTTTTAAAAATAAAGTCTTTTTAAAAATAAGTGCAAAGATTCTTTCAAAGAAAATCTTTAGAAAAATTTTTGCAAAATTTTTAGGCAATTTGTTTTTTCAAACAAATCAGACTTTATATATATTATATTCGTTAAGTCAAGTAAAATAAACTCATCGAACAATGTACGTGTAAACTTTCCTTTATCTTTTTTTTTCAGTTTTATGAACAAAACAAGGTGCTATATATTTGTTTAGTGTTTTTTTTTATAAATTTGTGGTTATGTTATCTGTTTTCTGCCAACAAAATACATACATATTTAGTTTGCACTTGTACTTGACAATGAAAAGCTTTACTCATAGTATATTGTTTTTATTTATTTTTTATATTAAATTTACACTTGTTTTTAATTCTTATAATTTAAATTTGCCTTTAAGTCATGTTCAGTACTATTTTAACAGTTTTCCGGAAGAGAAAAATAAGTGTTTACACGACAGTGATTGTATTTATAAAGATTATTTAAATCATAAATATGGGAACTATAATGAAAAAGCATGTTGGGGATACGAAAAAAATTGTGATGTTAAAGAAAGATTTTCTTCACCAAAGTGCCAGTCAAAATTTAAAATTGAAGGAAAAACTGCATCGGAAATATTTTACCAACAAGCTGATTTTGGTTATGTTAAAGAACAGATTAATGAATTAACTACAATCTGTAGTGCGCGCAATGAAAGTGATTCATTTCTTGAATGTTCGAAATACCTCAGATTTTGTAAGGGTAAAAATATTTACATTGATTTAAGTGACATATCTAGAAACGGAAAACCTTTTCGATATAAAACCGACGTTTTGAAGTATGGACAAATAGGTGGTCATTGCAATCTTGAAAAACAAAAGTTAGATAAAGAAATCGATCAGTTAGGAGCATTGCAATCTTGGGCACCAGAATTGAGATTTTTTAAAAGTACAGAATTACCTTTAAATGAAGAGGAATGTGATCTTATAATAGATAAACCTACTATTTTAATGAAGCTAGACGCTCAGTCAAATATGTACCATCATTTCTGTGATTTTTTTAACTTATACTTATCTTTACATGTTAATCAAACATTCTCAAGTTTATATACAAAGGATGTACAAATTTTGCTATGGGAGACGTACGATTATTATGGTCCATTTGGAGAAACATTTAATGCATTTTCTGATAATTCAATATGGACTTTGAAGGACCTAAGCAGACAAAAGATTTGTTTTAGATCACTATTAATGCCTTTATTACCTCGCATGATTTTTGGATTATATTATAACACTCCAATAGTAAATAATTGCCGCAACAGTGGTTTATTTAAAGCCTTTTCCGAATTCATCTTATATAGGCTAAAGATACCCTTAGAGCTATCCATCAGTCCACCAAAAATTCGAATAACATTTGTTATACGAAAAACTAAATATCGGCGAGTACTTAATGAAAATGAATTAATAAAAGCTTTGAGAGACGATTTAAATTATGTTGTTAAAGCGGTATCATTTGAGGCTATAACTAGTTTTACAACTCAATTAGAAGTAGTGCGAAATACTGATATTTTAATAGGAATGCACGGAGCTGGTCTTACTCATTTATTGTTCTTACCAGATTGGGCAACTATTTTTGAATTATATAATTGTGGAGACCCAAATTGTTATAAAGATTTGGCAAGGTTAAGAGGCATCAATTATGCTACTTGGGAGGATAATTCCAAATTATATCCTGAAGATGAGGGATCTCATCCTGATGGTGGAGCTCATGAAAAATTTACGAATTACAAATTTGATAAGAAAGAGTTTTTACGGATTGTTGTAAAGGCAGTGCAAGAAGTAAAAAATCATGAGTCGTACAAGGAGTTTATTAAAAAACCACGTATTGAAAATTCACTTGAAGCCAATAAATACGAACTATAATCACTTTTAAATGCATAGGCAATTAAAAGTATAAAAGTGTATAAACATCTGCTTGTATAGTGGATAAGTGCGTTTTTTAATATCATATTATGAATAACATTATGTATGTAGGTACCCTACATAAAATGAAATAATACTAACAGTGCCTAATATTTATTGCAATCTTTCAACTTGTATTAATTATCATCCTAATGGTTTTTGCAAGCATGATTAATAAATAATAATATTTACTAAAAATCTTTTGTGAATAATACAATAAATTTGTTTTTAACTAACAGAAAATGCCTTGTTAATTTAAAACCATTATTAGACAAGATTTGAATATATGGTTCCATAGTGTAGCGGTTATCACGTCTGCTTTACACGCAGAAGGTCTCCAGTTCGATCCTGGATGGAACCAGAGGTTTTTTTTTTAAGCATGGCTAGTTTTATTTTTTCATTTTAAATAAATATAAAATTTGTTTTTACATATACGCAATGTAGTAGAGATGATGAAATTAATTGCGTCTTGTCATAAAAAATATTAAAGTGTCCATTATTATTAAATTTTACATTTACAATCTTGTGATTTGTAATATGTAGAGGAGCTAGAGAGTAAAAAAATTTGCCTCCCCGGCGGGGAATCGAACCCCGGTCTCCCGCGTGACAGGCGGGGATACTAACCACTATACTACCGAGGACTTATAAATTAATAGGCAAAATTCAAAAATAAACTTTTTAGGTGCTTTCTTTCATAAAAATATACCTTAGATTTTTAAGGGGTTTTTTAATTTCACATTATTCATTGAATTTTTTAATGAAAACATTAAAGGGCTAACGAAAAGTATTTATAGCGATAAAATTGATGAAAAATAGTAGAAACACAAAAAGAGCCATAACAATCTTTTATTGTACACTTACGAATATGCTAATATTTAGGAATATATGTACTAAGATTTGTAATTGTCTTCAATATGGCACACGTTTTCACATAAATATTTTACTGTCTCTTTCCAAATTAAAATATTTATTTTATTTTTTTTTATAATTTTTAAGTACTTTTTAAAAATTGAGTAAAACTGCAATTTTCTTCCGTAGTACTACTGCTTAGATTTAACGAACTCGTTGAATTTATAGATTTTTTGGTTTGACTTAATTGAACGTGCTTTATAATAAGATTATAGTTGAACTGGAAAATCGAAAATTTTATAAACTACATAATACAATTTTTAATACATAATAGTGTTTAATGTATATTGTCAGAAAAGTTGAATGAAAATTTTTACATGTTGCATAATACATAATTTAAAAAATATTTTAATACATTAAAATTGAATAAGAGCGAAACAAAATCAATTATCAATTTTTCCAACATATTTATTTACTTCGATGAAAAATTAACTCTTATTCTTTTTTTTTGTAAAAACTTAAATTATTGAGAAAAACCCGCTTTCCGCAAAAACTTCTTAAACTAATATTAAAAATTAAAATTTTTTTGTTTGATCCTAATTTTTTTTAATTTTCTTTGTCAGCATCCATTCATATTTTTAATTGAAATTGTATGTTTAGAAAATGTCATTATGTAAAATTAAACCATACATACATATACATATTTAAAATTTGTGACGATAATATTAAGTATTGATAAATATAATACTAATTCAGAATTAAAATACTTTTTTAGTTTTTTGTTTCAATTCTAATTGTGCAACCAGAGTTTTTTGACTTTCGAAATTTAGCGTATTTAGACCTTATTTTAAGGTTAATTGGTGTTAATTTATTTTTCAAATTTTTTCTAAGAACGCTTTTATTACGAGTGAAGTTTCGTTCTGCAAAAGATGAAGTTGATGAATCACTATCCGGATCCCTAATACATAAATATTTTCTTTGCTCGGTTTGATGAATATTTACATTTTTATTTATATTTTGATTTCGACTTCTTGGCGTAAAACCTATATCGTCAGTCTCTTTTGAATTAAGATCGTTATATTTATCATAATGGTTAGTTTTCAATGTATGAGTATCAACCAAACATATTTTTTTTTGTTCTGATGATCGTCCTTTATTTTCATTATTTTTTAAAAAGTTTTTGTTGTTATATTCATATAAATTTTGTTTCAAGCAAACTCGGTCTCGTTGCGAAGAACAATTCTTAAATATTTCTTCATTGCTTGAAAATATTCTTCTTCCGCGAAACTTTTTTGAGTGTTTGCAATTTTTTTCAAATTGGTTACGAGAATTTGATGCGGGTTGATCAAAATAGTCTATGGAATCAAAAGAAGATTTTTTATATTTTACGTTATCAGGATTTGAAGACGATGGAAAACTGTTGTCCGTTAGATCATTCTTATGAGTTCCTTTTTTATTACTGCATTCCGTAACTTTCTCGCTTGTTTTACATCCTTTGTTCTTTATATCTTTCGTTAGGCAATTGCATATTTTGTTTTTCCAAATATTTTCATTTGGCATATCGTTGTTTGCAGTTTTTTTCTCCTTACAATTTTTATACTTCATAGTTTTTGAATTACCTTTCAATTCAAAACTACAATCGCTTTCTAATCCAAGTGTAGATGTTTTAAACTTTTTAACTTTCTTCTTTTCCAATAGTTCAGAACAATTGTCAGGACTTTCAATTCTAAAAATGGAAAAACATCAACTTTGCGATATTATTTGCGAACAAAATAATTGATTTACCTTTTTTGACGTTTTCGATTACGCCTTTTTCCCTTTTTTTCTACACTATCATTTCTGTTACACAACACAAAATCTTCTGAAAAATAATTTGAAGAAATTTGATTCACTTGTTTGTCTTCGTCTGTTAAGTTTTCGTCGCTGTCGAGTGAGTCTTCAATATTTATTACATCATTTTCAAAATTATTTTTGTTAATTACAACAATACCCGAATCCTTTGAATATTCATGTAAATTCAGTTTATTTACCATGTCAGAACATTCTAAACATAAATATTTTTCATCTGACATTTTCCAATTTCCAACATGACAAAATTTGTGTATAGCTTTACCTCCGCATATTTGGCATAAAAGAAATTTAAATAACTCGTCGTTAGTAAAATTTCTTCCAGATTTACAAGCACATTGACGAGCAGAACATTCACTGGGACGAACTAGAAGGTCTTCAAAAGCACCCGGCTCCAATTCCCAATCTGCATCCCTAATAAAAAAAATAAATTAAAAAAAATATAAATTCATTTATAAATTACATACTTTTGAGGAATAAAAATTCCTGATTTAGGGATTTCTCTAGAAAATATAGAAGTGTCATTGCAAAGAGGACATTTGAAAAAATATCCTGCTTTGTTAGCAAATTCTTGAAGGCACCATTTGTGGAACCAACCATTCTTACAACAGGGTGTTGATATAGCCATCGTTTGTGGTTCATTTCTTGAGAAACTTTCCCAACAAATAGAACAAGCTTCTTTGGAGCTCTTTTTGTATTTTTTTGGATTATCAGCATGTTGGTGACAAAATGATGGGAATGTATCGAGAAAATGGTTTTGGGCACCATTGTTAATCCCACAAATAAAATGGAAGTTATTTTTACATTTCGCTTCGCAACACGAAATATTTGCTCCTTTTTCTTTACAATATATGCACATCTATGAAAAAATGATGTTTAAAGTATTTTTTACCGTTTTAGTAGGCTTCTTCACATGCCCTTTAAATCATTTTTTACCTTTTGTTTTATACGTCTTTTTTCCGCTTGTATATCCATAGGTAAAAATCCTAATATACCTTCGTCATCATCTCCTTCTTGGGCTAGGCCAGTAGATAAAAGCTAAAAAATTTCGTTCCTACATCATTTAAATTTTTTATTTAACTTATTCTTTAGCTTATAATTACCAAACAAAAATAATGAACTTTCAGTTTATTCTTGACATAAAACTTTCCATATTTTAACTCATTTTTTTTTTGGGATTGGCATAAATCACATTTTAATTTATCTTCTGCCATTTTAAATTCTAATTTACTTTGTTTATTTAAAATATAATGATTTATTTTAAGTGTTCAATGTTTTTTTAAATTACATGTACTTTCAAACCGTCAGAGACAAAATATTAAAATAGTGCCAAATTCATATTAAAAAGTTGAATATTTAAAATGACAATAATTGACAATTTACAACTCTATTACTGCATCTGTTCAACTGTTTCAAAACAATTAGACGTATGTTGATCAGGTTAACACACAGCAATTCTTGCTGTAGAACTGAAACTTTCCCCTTTTGCATAGATATACCAGCAGCAAAAATATTTTTCATATAGGTACAAATTTTAAGAAATATTAAGAAATTAAGTTTATTATTTCTTGATTTTAAAAGATTTATTCAAAGAACTTTTAAAAAAAATGCTTATCCTATTTGTATGAGTAACATCGTAATTTAGATAATCCGTTGTTGTATAATTTTTTAAGTTGCTGGTAGGTAATTTGCAGGTTCATATTTTTTTAAAATCAAAAACAAGAAATTTGAAATCCCGGTTGTATAAAAAATGCAAATAATTGTATCATAAATTACGTTCTTAAAAATGCAAATCTTTTTTAATGAGATTTACAATTTAATAATTCTCTTTTTCAATGAGATTTTAATTTTTCTTTTTTTAATGAGTCGAAGTGTAAACACTGGCAATTAGCTCTACTATGACGTCTGGAAAGCAGTGGCATACTGTCATATTTCGACAGCTGTTTTTTGTTTTGTTTCTATTTGTTCTTTATGTGTTTTGTTTAATTTGCTTTTTTAATTTTCTGATTTATTTTTAAGTCAGGTTCTTTTTGACAATATTTTAGGCTGCATTTACGGAAGGGGAAAATTTACGCAAAAATTTAACCTATTTTTTTTTATTTACAATATTTAGATATTTTTTTATTTCGTCTCGTACAATGTAAGTGCTTCTCATTTCTGGAATTTTTAGTTAAAATAAGATTATTTAGTTTCGGATAATCTATGATTTCTGTTTATATATGGGAAATTTATTTCTATAATTAACAAGGTGTTTCTCAGATAAGAATTCAAATATTTAAAACAAAAGTGTACATAGCGATTTTCTAAATTATATTTATTTTTTATGTACATATATTTAATGAAATTTACTGACCACAATATAAAATGTATACATATGTAGGTAAAAGTAACAAAATTTTTTTTTAGATAATTCGCTATGAAAGTAGTGCCGAGTTATTATATGAAGAGTATATTTTAATCAACATTTTTGATATTTTTAGGTTTTCAAAAACGTAGGTATAGTGTAAATATATAAGTGTCTACATATTTCTTTTTTAATTTTATTAGATAATATAAATACAGTATTTATTTTTTTGAATACAAACAGCTGTTTAATTTTATTCCGCAATATTTATTGATTTGCACATTATATAAATCCTTCTTTAATAAGTGATGTGTTTTGTATAATGAACTTTGGAACTTCAGCTAATGACATACATACATTTTATTAATTTAAGAAAATGGCTAAATTGTGGAAAGAATCTGCGACACTGATATTACTTGCCCGAAATGCTAATAATGCTTTTATCCACAATTACAATTACAAAGTAAATATTTTAAAAAATTTGTAACCTGTGTACACAGTAGGCACTCATCTAAATTCTTACTAATCCACTAATTTGATTTTATTTACAGGTGCTCTTGTTCACTAGGACTGATAAAACCGCTTTTATGTCTGGTAGTGCATGCTTTCCAGGTGGAGCAATAGATAAAAATGACGAGAGTAAAAAATGGATCAACCACTTTAATAAGTATGGTATAAGTGAAAATCAACTACAACAGAATTTTAAAAATAAGGGAAACCGTCCTCCAATCTTTAAAAATAATTTTAACGCAATAGATCGGGAAATTTCGTTAAGGTACAAATTAACACTGTCATATTCAGATTAAGATAAATGTTTATCTTATTATGATACAAATTTAGAATTAATGCAATTAGAGAGACATTTGAGGAAGTAGGAGTGTTATTATGCAGGAAAAAATCTGAATTAGATTTTTCGAAATCAAACGGTTTTGGTAATTTTCATGAAAATTTCGATCGTATAAAATGGCAAGAAGTTGTTCACAATGACGCTTCCAGGTTTTTGGAGTTATGTGAAACACTTGATGTTGTTCCAGATGTGTGGAACTTAAGTGAATGGTCGGATTGGCTTACTCCAGCTTCATTTAGTGCAAGACGTTTTGAAACAGCTTTCTTTATTGTTATGCTTAATACCTTTCCGAATGTTCACGGGGAACCGCACGAAGTAAAAAATATTTATGTAGGTATCAATTTTTTTATATATGGTTGTTATTATTGACTTTAGTTTAAGAATCATGTAAAATATAATTATGCTTTCATATTCTTCTTAGTGGGATACACCTGAAAGATATTTTGATATGCATAAATCTGAAAAGTTGTGGATTCCGCCACCACAGTTTTATGAATTGAAAAAGTTGTCAAATTTTCATTCAATCGATGATATAATTAATTTAGTTAAAAAACGTTCAAATGAGGGTCTAACTTTATTTTTACCAGTAAATTATGCATGTAAAGACGGAATGGTAGCTGTTATGCCGGGTAAATCTATAATGTCTTTGTGATTAATAATCTGTTAAACTAAAAGTTTCTTTTTCAATTGTTCATTAAGGTGATGATATGTATCCTGATAATCCAAATGATCAAACATCAACTATAACTGTTGAAAAAACAATGGAAGAATTTCGAAAAACATCTAAAAATTTGCATCGTAGTGAATATGGAACTTTTTACGATACAACTTTTCATATGAATATTGAGCCTCTTGATGGTTATGTGTTTCCTAAGCATAAAAGACCAAAATTATAAATGTTGATTTATAAAATTTTTTATATGAATAAAGCAATGTTTTTATTTTTATACATAGTTGAAAAAATGTTTTGAATTATTTATAAGAAATTCAAATTTTTATTTTTTTTTATTTTCTACAAGGGTTTGTAATTTGAGTCGTTATAATAATACGTTAACATTATATGCGAATACAGTACAGTATAATGTTATAGCTCTATCTAAAATAAAATAATTAGATATATAACTTTGTAAAACTTAGTTATTTTATTGCCATTTAATTTGTATTATTTTTATTAGATCTTTAAACTCAACAATTGGGGTATGGGTAGATACCAAAGACTTACTAAATTGATTATTTTAAAAAAGTTACTTTTTGAAATAAAAAATTCTTTTTGTTTATATGACCTTAGAATTTACACTTTGTAAGACTCACATATTGTTTTTACTCACATATAATTTTTTCTGGACTATTTTGACCAATCCTTGAGCAGTTTATCTTTAATTAAAAGAAAATTATGCTTGATATTTTGTTTTTGTTAAGATGTCTTTTGATATTTTTGTGAACGCTTTTTGTATTAGTAGGAGATATAGTACGTTTGAATTATCTAAATTAAGTATAAGTTTTCGATTTTTCAACTGACTATAATTATGTATGATATTAAAATGTTATTAAGAACTTTAAAAATAACATTTAATAAAATTTAATTTACAAATTAAATGTTATTATTACACTAATTTTTAAATTAGCATTAATCAAATGTTATTTTATGTTATTAAAAATTTAAAATAAATCGCAAAAATTACAACTGGTTCCATAGTGTAGCGGTTATCACGTCTGCTTTACACGCAGAAGGTCTCCAGTTCGATCCTGGATGGAACCATAAGTCTGCCTTTTTTTTTGTACAACACTTTGTTTAAAAATTTAATTCAATAATTATATTAATATTTATTTCAAAAAATTATATATGTACATATTAAGCAAAAATTTCTACTATATGCCAATATTTATGTATTTGTGTGTTATAGGAAAGAAATATGTACATACTTATGTAATTTTTTTCCAAAACAAATGCTTTCTTCTCGCCCAAATATTTAATACTGTTGATATTTGCTTATGTAAGTATAAAAGTAATTAACCATCTTATATAAAAGAATTTTTTAAATAAGAAAAGCAGGTTCTTAATTTAACATCACTTTTAATTGTAATATTTCAATTGGAATATGATAATACCATTAGTTTTTTTATATGTACATATTATATACTATTACAATAAAATTTTATATTATAAATTATAAGTATAGATAAATTTAAATTGCAGGGTATTACTTAATTTTGAAATAATTTTGAAAGCTTTGGTTTTATAGAAAAAAATTTTAGAATTAAAATATTAAATTTAATTTAAATGTATAAGTCAAAAAAGAAACACAACATGTTATTTGGAATGGAGTTATTTTATAATTATAATATTACATAGCATTTATAGTATACAATTCTTATAAAACTAAATTAGAATTAAATTTAATTATTTAAACATTATATATTTAAATAAAATCAATTTTAAAAATTACAAAAACATTTAAGAATTATCACGGCTGATTAAAGTGAGCGTTTAAAAAAAAAAAAAGAAAATAATGAGATATGTTTTTAAAAGGATCTTACTTGCAAAATTTTAATTCAAATAGATTATAATAACAAGTTTTAACAATTATAAAATCTATGTAGGTAAATTAAAATTATTAATTTGATTATAACATTTTAAAAGTAGAAAAAATATTCATTCCCATAAAATATTTGATTTTTTTTTTATTGTAATATAATTTCTATTTTTTTATGATTTATTAGATTTTCAATTAAAATCAGTCGAATTAAAATTTAAACATTTATAGTTTGGCAATATGAAACAATTTAAATTCCTCTATTGTTTATGAAAAGCTTCTTCTACAAATTTTGCATTTTCAAAGACAGGAACTCATCTTTTTTGTTTAAATATTCTTCATATCTGATTTGTGAGTACCTAAAAAAAAGAAAAAAATAAAATTATTAGAATAATATTTTTTATTTTTTTTTTTCGTATTTATCTTTACTTTACAAAATCAAAATCAATTTTTGAATTTTCTGCTTGTACTAGGCCCCATATTGCCCAAAATAAATGCGCTGCCAATGCAAATTGATTAGATTCAATATATAGTTTTTCAATATTTTGTTTTGGTACTTCAGTAATTTCCAAATAACTTTTCAGGTACACTTCTAACCATTCAAATTGAAATTCTTTTGAAGGATAACGTTTATAATCGATTTCATCGACTTCGATACCAGTAAATTCAGCAAAATGATTACCAATATCAAATCCTTGATAATTTATTTCAGCATATTCATAATCGATAAATGTTACACGATTTGAATTTTCATTATAAATAACATTTCCAAGTAATAAATCATTATGACAAAATACTAAAGGACTATCAAGTTTCTCTAAAATTTTATAAAGCTCTTCAAATTCTTTTCGTAATGCTGATATTGATGAAAATATTTTTGATACTCTGAAATAGTAATAGAAATTTTTATTAGTATAAATAATAATGTACTCGTAAGTTATCTATTATCGAATTTTTATCATTAATATATTTCCTAATATATTAATGATATTGCAATATTCAATTTCAAATAAAGCAGTTGATATAACGTTGATTAGTTTGCATTTAGTAAAATGCCCAGAAAATGAATATTGTTTATGCTTAAGTTTAGTTTAAATTATAATTGAAATAATAATTTGAGATTGAATAATTATTGTCAAATTGATTTTGTTCCCAGACAGAAATAATTTATTGAACAAATAATACATGATATTTTACTTAGTTGTAGAATGAAGAATGTGTTTTATTGGCTATGCCTTAGCGGGACCAGTTTTAATAATAAATTTTTTTTTTAATAAGTTAAAAATATCGAATAACTGAATGATGTTGTTGTACACATTTATTGATCTTCATTATATTTTCATAACTTACCGATCATGCTTAATTTTATCACTAAATTTTTCTGGTATTAAATTCAATAAAATTTGAGTTTTTCTCCAAAGCATTGGTTCAATTTCATTTTTATTAAATTTAATATTATTTTGATTTAATATTATTGATAATTTTACTTTATGCATATCAGCCATACGTTGTGCTATTAATGTCCAAATTTTTGGCTGAATTACTGTTAATGGTGTTAAAGTACAACCAGGTACATATTCATAAGCTAAACCATTTTTAAATGTTGCAAATAATTGTGGTGCAAATCCATATGAATGTAATAAACGTATATTACGTTGTTCAGCTTTACGATCAATTAATAATTCAGTATTATTGCCATAGACACGTATTAAAACAATATCAATATTATTGTCTGATGTATCAAAAGAACCATTTTCATTATTTACAGTTATTTTATGTGATGATTCAATGGTATTATTATATTTATTTGACGTTTCCGATGTTGTCGATAATATTGTTGATTGTGATAATGATGATGTTGATGATAATAATTGAGATTTATTATAAAAACATCCAACCAATTTATTTGTAATGCCATCTGTGAAAAACTGAATTAGTTCTGAATTTTAATAAAATATTTTTATAAAAGAAAATAAAAAAAATATTATTTGGACTATTATGATTTTTTTTTTGCAAATTTATATATAAGAAAAAGTTTGTATTAAAGTATAAAGAACTCATTGAATTCTGAAAATTATTTTAATAACAATACTTATTTCTTTTTAAATTAGTATTGAATTGTGAATTTTTTTTTTTATTTTGCCTTAGAAAACTTTATGTACAGAATAACAGAAAAATTGTTTGGCTTTTTCCATCGAATTTTTTTATTGTTATCTAAATTGCTTTTAATATTTTAAAAAGTTTTGATTAAATTTTTAATGACACTTTTATTTCATAAAAATGGTACTTTCTAGAATTACAATTATTTAAGTATATATAGAAACATTTATATATATAGAAACTCATTATTTTTAGCGTATAGATTATAAGCACGATATAAGTCAGATGTTGCTCTAATATAATGTATGCAGATTTATTATATCGTTATTATAAAGAAATCTGTATACGTAAATCTTATATATATACATATAAGTAGGTGTAATTTTTAACTTTGCTTCAAATTTTTACAATAACTATTTTAATTTTGAATGATATAAGCTCATTAAAATTTTGAAATGTGCAAAAAAAAAAAATAATAATAAAGAACCGGAAATCAAAAATATCAATTTCGTGTACATTGTTAAAAATTATAAAAGTCATAGGTAATTTTCCTTTATTAAAAAAAATTTAAAACTTAAGTGGAATATTGCGATGTTACTATACATAAAGAAAAATTAAAACATTAAAAAACTTGAAAACACAAGCCAGCTAACATACGGTATCGCGTTACTGCAATTTTGAAGTCACGTTTGTATTTTCCTATATTCTTTTAAAAATAGTGCATATTGTTGCTATACCTACATAAGTCAAGTTGAATACCTACACTTGTATATTTTGAACGCCTCCCAAATTATGATTTAATGTCATGTTGAAATATATAGATTTGAATTATTTAACAATGGAATTGAATAAAGTGAATTGAAAATGCTGTAGAAAAACTCATCAATATTTTAGTTAATCGCAACGTTTGCAGTATTCTTGAAAAATCGTAAAAATTCAAAAACTTATATTTACTTTAAAAATTCATACAATTTATTTGAAGTTTGTACATTTTTTGTTAAATTTATATATATAATATAATACATGAATAAACAATAAAATGCTTGCATAGACAATGTATATACATATATAATTATATCGATTTCAACAAATTATCGTAAAAAATTCTTTTATCAAACGATTTCTTGCACATATCATGTACAATACATACATTAATATAAAATACATAATAATATTATTATGTAGGTCATGTTTAAGTATAAGGTTGTGTTAACCTTATTAATCAATTTTAATATTAAAAGAAAAAGTATATTTCAACAAAAAATTTATTTTGAAAATATTTCTATGTATATTAAAAAAAAAAATGCTTGCACTATAGCATTATCGTCTTTTAAAATATATTACACATATATACATATATAGCTTCGAATAATTTGTTTGAAAAAAATTTACGATTTCAGTATCAGAAATTTACGATTTCAGTAGAAAATAGTATTCAGTAGAAACATTATAAAACTATAGCCCTTCTATGGCAATACAATTCTAAGGTTTTGGTATTTTCAATTGTTTAAATTATAATTTTGACAAAATGATAGTCCGTCAGTTCAAAATTCAGTATAATATCTGGAATTTACTAATAGGTTGAATTGTACACTAACACGGTGTTTATTACTGTATAATTTTGAAATTAGAGAGTTTTTGACTAGAAATTAATCTCTATATTGAATTCCAAAGCGAAATTTACAGCAGAAAGTTACATTTGGCCCACATAAGTTGGCTAAAAATAATTTTTCTTCCGACTACAAATTTTATTAAGAAATTTTAAAAATTCTGAATTAAATTTTATTAAGAAATCAAAATCTAGTTAAACGATATAATAATCATATTCTCGTAAGTTGAATCTAATTTAAATCTTTTGTTTGCTAAAAAGGTTTTATTCATCCATATAATGTTAAGTATACCTACTTTAATAAATGTGTGTACTATATGTTTATGACCACTATGATCTCATATTAACTTAATACACAGAATTTCAAATAATTGAATTAGAATTAGGTAGTGTTATCTTAAATTTTAAAATAAAAATATAATAAAGTGAATAAATATATACTTTAATTATTTCAATTAGAAAATTAGTAATTATATGTGTAAACTAGTATAAAACTTTAAGCTAACTTAATCTTCTAAATATTAAATTAATCCGCGTAATAAAAAATTATTCTAAATATTATAAACTTAAAAAGATTTCTTCTTATACCCTCATAATATACGGGAATTCATTTTATTTTATCTTAGATTTATATTTGTATTATATTTGTATGCACAAGGACATCTTCCTATTTTCATGTCATTATTATACAGTTATTTAAATGTATTTTTTGTTATTGTATTTTAAATATTTAGTCAGTCAACAAATGTAGTATAATTTATATGGAATATCTAGAAAATATTTTTTTTATTATTGTTTACTGAAAAATAACTTCTTTTATTATATATACATATTGTAAATTCATAAATATACTTGTATATACATATTATAATTAAATTGCAAAATGTTTATATTATGTTTATTCACATACATGTGCACATACATATTGTACGCATGTACATAATACAAAAAAAAATTAGTTTAAAAAAATTAAATATGATGAGAATTATAAAATATGTAAATATAGTTAGGAACGCTGACTTAGTAGATTAATACGGTTATTAAAAAATTTTACAAATATTTTCATGTATACTTACATATACATATACGTACATGTACATAAATTTGCATGATGTGAATAAAATTATTCTATAATAATATATTTAAAATGTTTTTATGTAAGTATATAAATATCAATATTATGTATATAAGTATGAAGTAAATAAATTTTTGTTCTTCTAACAGCGATGACAAACTTTTATTTTTTGGCTAGAAAAGCTCTGATATCGGAATTTACGATAATATTGTTTTAATATACAATTTATAGCTTACGAGTACTAATTACTGAATCTTGTAGTGATTATATACATACATATATATTGAATAATTACATATTACAATTTTATTGTCAGCATTAATTGATGTAAAAATCAAAATTTAGGTAAAAACAGTGTAATTAATTATTGTCTAACATTTTTTTTTATTTTAATACTTTCAGTTAATAGTTAAAATGTGTTAGTCACTTGTAAGTAAGAATTGTTAATTTAATAATTCGAAGAATTCGAAGACATGTAATTTTTTCAACAAAACAGTTCATATTTTCAATTAAATTTATTATAAGATACTAAATTATTATATATAAGATTTATTATTATAGATTATTATAATTCAATTAGATTATCGAGAATATCGATCAAACTTAAAAAAGCATCAAAGACACTGAATGGTAACTCAATTTCAAAAATTTTGCGAACAACGAAAATTCTTCTCACTCCTCACTATTACATTAATTTTGATTACATATATTAATTGACTTACAATTTAACAATTTTATATTTTGCTCACTAACTTTATTGCTTCCCGATGAATTAAAAGGTGATATGGAATGAGACTTTACTTAATTTTAGTGAAATTTTCCAATAAATCAATAAATTTTTCCAAACAAATTGATAGTTAAAATTAAATTAAAATTATAAGAGTAATTATATGAAAAAAACGTTTAGTTCTTTATTTTTACATTCACCAATCATATGCACGTAACATATGTGATACGGTAATGATAGGTTATATATCACTTGCTTTTATAAAATAATTGCATAAGCATATTATTAAAATATTTATACAATTTTATGCTTTCCATAATTTTTTGATCGAAATAAATATGGAACAAATGAATGCATACATATACATATATATATATATATATATTTATATATTTATATACATACTCACTTATATTTTATTTAAATATGGGCAACTAAAGTATTAGTCATATGATTGCTAAATTTCAGATAGTAAATAAATTATAAATTATTTTTTCTTCAAATATGAGTGTTATGAGAATTTTGTAAAATGGTTTTTAGAATTTTAATCTAATTAAGAAATTAATTATTTATTGAGTATAATTAATTATTTATTGAGCGTCAATTCATTATTTTGGGCGTCTATCAAAATGTAGATCTATAAAATGTCAAATAGAGTTATTCAATATAACCAACGAATTATGTACAATGCTCGAAAAAAAAACTAGTATACAACAATAACAAAATAAAAAATATTTTAATTAATTCAAATATTATCAAAATTAATTAATAATTATATACGCGTTACACTTATTTGTTAATTTTATTAAATTGTTGTTAAGAGTGTAAGAAGACATCATTTGAATATTAATTATCAATTTTATTTTTTGTAAAAAAAAATTCATTTTTCATTTACTTGCGTGTTTAGAAAACATTATTTACACTGATTGGAATATCTCAAAAAAAAAAAAAAAGTAATAATCAAATTTTTCCATCATCACTTTTAATTTTTTTTTATTTAAATAAAAAAATTAAACTTTGTCTTTAGAGATACAGCAGGTTTTAATTCAAATGTTTTATAATTATCAGTGTTATCACTTTGTTTTAAAATATTTTGTATACGTTCAAGTTTTAAAATATGGCAAGTTGACAACCAAAAGATGAAATTTTTTTGAACACGTATATGTAAATAATAAAAGTATAGTATTATTTTATTAATAAAAAATTTTTATAATTAAATTTAATTGTTTTGAAATTTTCACGCTATATAAGAGTTCTAAAAAAGTAATTACTAATTATGGCATTTTGGCGATAAGTATTACCATCATGTGTTAGTTAATATTTAAATAGAAACGTTATAATGTTTATTTTTGACTTTTTGCGTTGAATTTTTTGTGTAAAATTAGCTGCTAATTTTACGGATGGTGATAATAAAGAATTTTATAAAAACTATCTAAAAATTTCAACGCCAACAATTTTTATTCGATACAGCGTCATTATACGTTTTTTGTTTGGGTTTCAAATACGGTTTGAAAGCAGTTTTAAAAGTTCGCTTTTAACGGAATACGGTTTACGCAGGTATATAGTATGTTTTATTACAAAATGAATACTTATACATAAATTCAAAATAATTCATAGAAGATTACTGCTGTTTTAAATTTGGCACACTAACTATGTATAAAGTTATAAGGACTGTAATTTTATTTATTTAGTAATCCATTGGTATGGTAATTCTATTTTAAAATAGACTTATAAATTATCAAAAAATATCATTAACATAGGTCTATTCTTAATTATTTGCATTTTACTTGTATTTTTCTAGCACTATATACTATTGTCTGTAGCAAATTCAATATACGGTACCAGTATAAATAAATTTTAAAAAGATTTATTTATTTCAATTAAATTTATATGCAGTCGAGCTTACTTATTAGCGTATCGAAAATTGCACGATTTTCATTGCTTTTACTAGCAAGCAAAAATTTGGCTTTTACGTCAGTTTTCTATTCACAATATACAAATGAAATGTCGGGTGTTAATAAAATGGCAGATTAGTGTACACAGATAAGTGTAATAATATTAATTCCTCTCAATGTAGACTTTTGCTTGCAACCTATGTTTTTATAAGCATATGTAAATTACGAACATGTAAAAGAAAAAATCAATTTTGTTTTATTAATAAAGGAGTTTTGCTTTTGTGCGTGTTGCTTATATAAGAGTCTGACTATACATATAGTTTTTAATTACTTATTGTATGATAGTTCGAAAATACATAATTTAAATATTGAATGTCGAATTAGTATAATACGTTTCACGGTACTATATTGAACATAATTTATTCATATTTTACAATAAAATAAATTAAAGTGATCATATATTTTTTAAAAGTTTTGTAACTTAGTTGTAAAATTTAATCAATTTTAAAATACTAATAAGACTCTGTACTGAAAACTCGAACATATTTGAATAAAATCCCATCACTTTCTTGTAATGCATCTTATAAAGAATATGAGAGAAAATATATATTATAAACATTATTAAATGCACAGATTTTATTTACTTTACAATTAAAAAATAAATTTTGTGTACAAAATTATTAATAGAACTTTATTGAATATTATTTGTAAATGCTGTAAATATTTCAAATATACGTTAAGTAATGAAAGTTAAGTATGCAGAGCATATTATATAATTGTACAAAGTTGATCTAATTGGTCTAATTTTTGCAAAAAAACAAATTTTTTTTATATTTATACTATTAAATTTATTTCATGGCTGCCAAACAACAGTTTTTTTACTACATGTATGTTTGAGTATGATTAATGAATAACATTTTGTCATAACATTAAAATAAAATTTTAACTTTGTACATATGTGAACATCTAGGTAGAAAAATATACGATATATAAATTTGTTTTTTCTACATATATTATTATTTTTAGAAATTAATTTAACATAAGTCAAGAGAGTTAATTTGAATAATTTATTATTCTATAGTTCTGCATATATACATACATATACCGTTAGTGATTATAGATTAAGTTTAAATTTACAGATTCTAACTATTTAAAAAGCTTATTTAAATAAATAAAAAACACAATTAACATAATAATATGTTTGATTGTTTATACTTATACGAAAGACGCTCAATAGAATTTAAATAGATTTTAGTGTTTATAATTACACGTTTATAATTACTTAATAATTAGTTGTTTATAAAATTGTGCTTAATGAGAAATTTGTCATTGAATTCATTATTATTTCAATAATAAAAAATATTTTTGTCAAAACAATCCGTGTTAATTGTAAGACATTTAAAAAAAATATATGCATACGTATATAAAATTTTTTTTATCAAAATATTTTGAAATTCTTGTACTAGCTATAGGCAATACGAGTATGTAAAATGAGTGTGCTTTCCACTGATAAATGAAAGTGAATCATTTTTCTTGTTAAAAATTTTATCTTAAAATTAAAGTAAATATACAGTCTTTTATATTTCATTAAATGGAATCCAATTATACAGAATATTGTACTTTATAGGTGGCTAATTATAAAAGGGAAATTTTAAGCTTTTAATAGCTTCTGCACTTAATTTTTTATTTTATTGTTAAAAATGTTTGTACAAAAAAAATTAGTTTTGCAACTGAATAAAAAAAAATATCAAAATAATTTTTAAATTAAACTTTCTCATTAACTGTAAAATGCATTTTTTGATAAGACGGTTAAAGTTACATTTTTTTGCAATAGATCAACATCATAAGCAGTTTTGGGAAATCAACATCATAACATTTGGCTAAAATATTTAATTAACATTTAACACCAGGCCGATTTTATATCTGAAAATTGCCTATATTGGTCACCCCCAAATTTTCAAAAAGTTTCAGTTTTAAAAGAACAAAAGATTGAAGAGGAAAGAAGATAAGTTTAAAAATTTATATTTATTTTTTTTACAAAATTTTTGAATGTTACCTATCAAAGCGTGTAAAAGTTTTTTGTGCGAATACAAGACGAAGTGAAATTAATAAACAAATTTTTTTTTCAATTTTTTCATTTTTTTTGGGAATGTGCTAAAAAATATAATTTGTTCATTGTTAAACACATACTTATATATTATTTAGTAGAATAATACACGTTCAAGGTAAAATATTAAATGAGATCAAATCATAAAATTTCATAAGGAAAGTTTTTATTAAATTAAAATTGTATAGTTGTTAGAGTAAAAATAATAGAAAAAAATCAACAATAATTTAATTGTAAAGTAAATTACCGGCACAATTTAAAGTATTTTGGGTGTTTATTAAGATACATACATATGCTAATTAAATATTTTTTTCAATGCAATGAAATACCAAATTTGAAAAATTTTAAGAAATATTAGTACTTAAATTTGTTTTTGTTTAAAAAATTATTAAATGATTTTGACCTACCCCTATAGCAAAGTTGTTTTTTAAATTAAATTTCGATACCAATATAAGTTTTAGGATTTTAAGTAATTAAAATTTCAGATCTTTATCTTAAATTCAGATTTTTTTCTAGAATATTTTAGAATTACACATGTATAATTAAATAAAATGAAACTCGTAAAAATTTTAAGTATAAGGTAATTAATGAAATATTTTTAAATTCGGCCGATCAAGTTTTTAAAACTTGTTCATATATATATAGATATACACACATACTTATAACTATGATAAACTTGTATTTTCTAATTAAATTTTATATACTATTATTATGTAGTTTGTATTTATATTAAAATATTATATTGTGTGTATATTTTGTGCGGCATAAAATCTAGATTAGAGTTTAACTTTTTCTCATTTTCATTTATAGAAAATAATCATTCGAATACAAAATACTAAAAATTTATTCTAGATTAAACATCATAAATTTAAATACAATGTAGAGTATGTATATTTACTTTATTTTGTTAATATGCATACAAAGTATTAAAATAATTTTTAATAAAAATTATTTTAAGTTTATCACCCTTATATTTTACTTGCATTTAATTTTATTATAAAAATATTTTTTTTCTTGCGATAATTTCTAAAATAAATATCAGTTTTATTTTGTTGAAATACTTTCTGCTAAGTTCAATCTTTAAGATTATAAATGCTTATGTAAATAAAGTTCCGTATTATATACAAGTATTTTATTGTGAATTTTTTTTATTATCAATATTATTGCTATTCAATATTAAAATTTCGAAAAAAAAATAAACCCGCTTTGTTTTGTTTCTTTTTTATTTTTAAAACAGATGTGTTAATTAAAATATTTTATTTTTCTTGTAAATTGTGGGATTTATATAAAAGTCCAATATTTTATTTAATAAATAATATAAATTTTAATTGTCTTCTTAATAAACTTTAAATTATTCTCATTTTCAGGTTTGAATTAATTTGTGAATGTTTTATGTCACCAATACTTTTTAAAATAAAAATAGTTTTTAGTACGAAATAATTAAAATCTAAAATTGCATTTCATTTAGTAGCTTTATAATTCGGAATTATTTAAAATACAACCGGTTATTAAATATTTGTTTATCGTAATTTTATATCGCAATCCAGAATCAAAATTTAATGTATATTTTCTGAAGTATCAAAAAATAACTACGTCCCCACGACGTTATACATATTATAAATGAGGATATTCCACGAGAAGCCAAATATCTTAAAGCAGATCGAATGATGCTGTCTCAAATGAATCAAGTTTAATAATAGTCAAGTAAAATTTAAATTTTGATCTGGATTTCATATACACTATTATTATGTAATACATACTACATATATATTTATATAAATACATGTATGGTAGAAAATTATAAGAAGTAAATATCAGAACATAATCTCAATTTGTTATATTTTCCACGCAATTTAGTAATATTCAATACAAGGGAATTTTCGAAAACTCAATTCTAACTTAGATCTTAAAATAAAGCGTGTTTAATAAATTTAAACTATAAAATCTTCAAATGTAGCATGTTCGATAAATGTTTACTACAAAGGAGGAAAGCACGTTTGAAAGTCGTAGCATACATTAAGATTTGGAGCATTTCTAAAAATGTCCTTAGTTTCCTGTAGATTTCAAATGACGCAAAAAAAAATTTTTAATATACAAGTTAGAATTTTAATAATTATTTTATAATACAAACCTTAAATTTAACATTATTTAAATTCCAATCATTACGTATCACTTTAATTATTTCCTTAGCACCATCAATAACATTATTTTCATCAATTATAATTGGAATTTTCGTAATATCATCATTATTAAGACTTTTATTACATAAATCAATATTTTGTGGCAATATTCTACCACTATTTTCAATAAAATTCGTTGATGTTTCTACACTTATTGATTGTGAATTATTTTCATTAATATTATTTGCTCCAGATTGTTTATTATTATAATCGGCATTAGGTAATTCTGTACAATGATTATTTTCTGTTCCCATAATCTCTTTTATTCTTTAATTTATTAAAATATATTTAATTAATTTTTGTAAAATAAAAAAACTTTTTTTCAATTATTTAAAATAATTTTTTTCTTTCTTATTATGTATTTGTTTTTATTGTACTTCTATTTTTAATTTAAATAAAATATTTTGATTTTAGTAAAGATTTTTGATGTTTACAAAAAAAAAAAATAACAAAATTCACAAAAGTTTACACATATATTTTTTCTATAGCACCAAAATTGACATTTAGAGTATTTCAATATGACATTTCTCTCCACTGGAATTATTAAAAAATAATATATATACATTAGTATAATAATTTATATGTGTTCGTATGTTATGTATGTATGTATTTTATTAATAAATTATTTACATTAAATTTATACATTGAAAAATATGTAAGATATATTTTTCTATCATTTTATAAATAAACAAAAAGCACATGGTTTTCTTATTTATCAAAAAGAATAATTTAAAATAATTAGGTAGAATTATATAACAGTATAGTAAATAATATTTTCATAAAGTTACCATACCTACAAAAATAATAGATTAGTGTTTTGTATTTATTAATTTAAAAATAATAAAGAGGAAGTAATTATATTGAACAATTGGCATTTGAAAACTGAATTCGGTTCCACTGTATGCCTTAGCAATATTAGGTTTAGTTTTAGTGCATTAAAAATGTATATGAACTTTGATTTAAGAATTACTTGTAATATAATTCAGCAATTAAATTTTCTAAACTGTAAATTTAAAGGCCGTTAAAAATAAACATTTACATGCAAATTACCAAATTGTGTGGTGATATCGTATTATTGCTATTGCGGATGTTAGAGATTGCTCGAAATCAGAATTGTATTTTAATGCAGAACTCAGCTACACACTGAAATGGAAATCACTCAATTGTGTATCGATACGGTATTATTACAATTCCGATGTCAGGGATTATTAAAGTTGTTTAATGAAGTATCGATTCGGTGAAAGACCACTCAAAAAATAATCCATTAAATTTATAAAGATATTATACATAGTTATACATTGACCGTATATTCCTATGTTAGAAATGTAAAAACCCATAACTCATAATAAAGTAAAAATCCAACTTTTAAACGAACTATGCATGTGGTCACTATATTATGTTTACAATAGTATACATACTATTACCACATTATGCCTATAAATATAAAATTTTTAAAAATATAAAAAAAAATAGAAAGAACGTGTACAATAAACATTGTTTACATGATTAAGAAAAACTCTCACTTTCGTTTGACAAGAAAGTAAACAATAAGGTAAAGAATTACAGGTTTTGAATTTCTATAATATTTTTCTTTCTTTTATTTACATAAATGCTATGTATGTGTATGTATGTGGCAAACATTTTAAATATATTTAGTATAATTGTATAAATGTGTAAACTATGTATAAGAATATTATGTATTAAAATATTATTCGTTAGGAATATTTTCACTTTATATACTTGCTAAAATTTATAATGTAAAATCAGTGGGCACTTGTACTAGACAATATTAGTATGTATGTATGTGTTTTGTTCAAAAGAAAATATCTCTTGCAAAAAAAATAAAGGATACATACGTTCTACTACGATATGAAAGTATATATGTGTGTACATAATATTATTGAAAAGAGAAATAGAGAAATTGAGCAAGAGAACATTTATTACGTAAATAGATTTTTTAATGTACACCCATATACATAATATAATTAAGGTAAACAAACATAATTTCTTTTAACATAAATAACATATAAGTATATATATACATATATATATGTGTATATTACTCCTTCTTATTTAAAAGTTTTTTATCATACTTTAATTTTTAATATTTAATCAGCTGTTCTACTACTTTGTATTCCATTATTATGTGTAATATCTATTTCCTAGTTTTCATAATTCTATATTATAGAATCTATAATTTCAACCTTACTCACTTAATTCCTCAAAAAGTAACAAAAATCTATGTACGTATACATACATATATATTTTTAAACACATGAAATATTTTCTCTACATTTTTGTTTGTTTTAAATATTATTCCACTTTCATATATTATTATACACTTGAAGAAAAATAAATATATTTTTTTGTTTTATAAAAGTGTTATACGTAGAATAAAACAGAATCGATTTTTCCATTAAAATTCACACAATATGTACGTATTTGTAATATATTATAAGGAATATTTAAATTTGATTTTGAAAACTTTTTTAAAAAAATTATTTATGTAAATTAAATTTGCAAAATAACTAATAAGAATGGAAAAGAAAAGCAATTTGTATTATAATTAATTTATTTTTCATATTAAAAAAAAATATTTATCAAATAAAAATAGAGCTTTTATACTTTAACATGACCACCACAACAAAGTAATTACTTAGCTCAAATTAAAAAAAAAAATTGCAAACTCTTCCAGTTAATAAAAAAATATATATATGTTTACCTATATGCTTATAATGTACTCAAAAATAATGTATGTACATATTTTAAATGTTAAAAACTATACGATAACAAAAATTACATAAATAATTTAAAAAGTGATAATAATTTTATCACTATATTTTTTAATTTTATCGTAAAATTTAAAAAGTCCACAAAAATGTTGTGTATGACATATATTATGATTTTTATTCCAGAATATTTTTTTCGAACATGTTTAGTTTGTACACGTAAATTTAATTATGTTATTTATTATTTGATTTTTTAATTTATTTTAATAAAAATGAAAATTCAATATATCTCGTAACTAACTATACTACAATTATTCTACATACATATACATACATATGTAAATAAAATTGAAAAAGGTTAAAATGAAATCAAAATTGATTTTTTTTTTGTCTTAATTCTTTACATTATTTTATGATACACACGTATATTTAAATATTATTATAAAATATACACAAAATCTGCTATTGTGGTATATTGCAAATTGCACATTATAATGAAACAAAAAAAAAAAAAAATTTTCAAATTTTTCAACAATTCGAATTATCGTAAATTTATCTGATTTTGTTTATAAATAAATTTAGCTGCTAGTGAATTCAATTGAAATCATTTTAAAAATTTTATTCAACTATAATAATATCAGTGCAATATTTAATTAATTTAGGTACCTATATTGTAATTCATTAATTTTTAATATTGGACTATGAAAAAATCAAAATTATACCCTGATATTCAAATTGTCATAATTTTATATATTTATTTCTACACAATTTAGCAATAAGGACTATTGAGCTGAATATTGTGTATATTATTTACCAAATATTACTATACAATTTTAATGATAAACAATAATTTATTCATTTCTTATGATAATTTTAATTTAAATTGCTCCATTATTTTAAATTAATATTATTAATAATAATATGTACGTATACATAAAAGTGTATTTGAATTAAAAAATTTATTTTATATTTCAATTTTATAATTCAATACATTTATATGGCAGAAATAAAAGAAATATTATCAACAAGTTGTTGAAACCAAGGAAAATCTCCTTTTACATTTATAAATAGGAAATGCTTATATATTTTTCATTATTATCATTATATATGAAACAAATTATTAAAATTAATATATAATTTCATAAATGTATAATTTCATTTAATAAAATATAATTTTAATTATTTCTCTTGAATTCTTCAGCATACTTGTATGTATTACGATTTTCTTTTAAAAAATTATTTTTAACTACATATTTTTTATTAATAATTAATATATATTTTCTATATTTGCATTAAATATTTTTATATATCTAATTTTGAGACATTTACATTTTTTTTTTAAATTTCATTACCCTATTTTAGAACACTTTATGTATTATTTTTACATATACATTATGCACACATTGAAAATTTATTTTAAAAGAGATTATGTTAGAAATTTATAATGCAATATAGGAATATAATATAAAAACTTGCGTTCTACAAAAAAAAAACTAATATATTTATTTTATAGAAATATGTTGTGAAAATATTTTATCTCTTCACTTAATACATAAAAATTTTTGTGCATTAAAAATACAAAATATTGGCTGTAATTTTTTTTAATGGTTTTTTTTTCTTAATAGAATATTGTAGAACGCTTATTTTATATTGGTATAAATATGAAATTATAGGTCTGGTTAAATATTATTTTAATATATTTTTATGAAAATTATTTTTATTACTTTAAAATTAAAAAAACAACATGCTTTTTCTTAACATTTTCATTCTTTCTTCAAGAAAGAATATAAATACCATATTGTTATAATTATTTATAATTTTAATGTAAAATACATACAGATGTGATATATTTTAACTTTTTTTAAATATGTTATTTCAAAAATAAATTTTTATATTAATATAAAGTTAAGATTTAATTAATAAATTTATATGCAAAAAAAAAAAAAATTAAAAATATTTGTTTTTTAAATAAAATTTGAATTAATTTTAATTCTTGTACCGATTTAACATTTGTTTATAACAACCTTATTCGAGCGACGACTCAATAATGACTAAAAGATTAAAGACGAAAACTTATATACTTATATTATGTTATGTTATATATAATTTTGTAGAAAAAAAAATAAAAATGTAAAAAAAAAAAGAAACTTTTATATTCTTTTTTGCTTTTAACAGAAAAAAAAAGCATTCAAATTAATTTCGACTCAATTCATAATTTTTTGTTCATACCCAAATGGCTTTTTTTCTTCTTTGCTTTATAAGTTTAAGGTCCTATGAGAGTTTAAATAATATGGAAATAAATATATGTATATAACATAACATAATATTTATGTTATATACTAAGGTAAATAAAGTTAAAGATATGAGAGAATAATTGCGAACTACAATGCACATGTAAACATTACCATTATGCTCTTATATACAAAATAAAAGAAAACCAAGACACTAGGAATTAAAGCTTAAAGAATTTAGGTACAAATTAAATATTGTTGTTTATATAAGAAATTGTTGTGGTGGATTTATTAATATTTTTGTTTCTATATAAATAGTAATTGAAAAATCAGGGTTTAAAAATTGCTGGCAATGAATTCACATTAACTTTTGCACCAATTACTTATTTTATTAATTAATCAATCAGAATATTTGCAAAATTTCTGTTAAACCTAGAATTAAAAAATTAACTATACTTATGGAAAGAAAAAGTTTAAAGCTAAAAGCAAAAGAAAATGTGATTAGCGCAATAGGGCCCCGGTTAGTATATTTTTATTGATTCACTTGGTATTTTTTCATTAATGTTAAATTACCTACATAAGTTAAGGGTTCAATTAATGCTTTAAATAACGGGGTTTTTACTGAAACAATAAGCAACAAATAATACTTTTTTTTTATTAGTATTCATCTAAATGAACTATTTAATAGAAAAACTTTCAAAATTTAATATTAATAAAAACTTACTTCAATATCTAAAGGTGGAGAATTTTTAAGTAAACTTTTTCTTACACTTCTTGGGCAGAACTTAAGCGATTGTTGCATTGAGATGTACAAAATATGTTTTGTTTTCACATAATTTCCATAGTAATTTGCTGTAGTAAAAGAACTTCTTACGTAGTGACTGGTTTTATCCAACTTCTTTGCCTAGTTTTCCCAATTAACCCGTCAGAATGATACCGTGAATTGATCATCGGCATATCTATATAATTTTTTTTTAGATTTTCAATAAAAAACTATTAATTAATAATAAAACAATTACTTTAGCAAATTCAAAGAAAATTAATGTATTTTATTTATTCTTGTTTTTTTTTCAATTTTTATTTGAAATTTCATAGAATTGAAATTCTATGAAACATTCATGATCGTAACAATTATTATCCAACAGCAATGGCACATTTCGATATAACCAAGGCAATCCTCGCAAATCAAATAAATTGCTGGCTTCTACAATGTCTGATAGGTAATACCAAAAATTGGACCTCATTTATTAGATAGATTGTTACAAAACAAAATGATGTAACAAAATGATACAGTACTTGTTTCTTTAAAAATTTACAGTAAAATAATTAATATAAATTCATATTTAATATGAATTATTAAGATTAATTTTTTCTAATTTTGTCCTGCATCAACACAATTCTTTAGAAAAGTAGAACATACATGAATTTTAATATGTGCCATAAACAGCATTAATGTGTTTAGATAAAGTATTCCAGGCATGTTATCGAACTGTTTCTTTCAGTAGTTTTTTACATTTATATTGTAAAGAATTTCACTGCTAACTTTTGTATTGTGAAGAATATTGCTGCTGAAAGTATTAATTAATTCATTATAGTAGCATTTATAAAAATTTTCATTTACCTTCTTCAACCTTTTCTATTATGTGTGCATAACATCGTATAACATCAGTTATAGATCAGAAACGAATTTAATTTCCTTAACAGTCATCAGTGTAAATGATTTTTGATTGAAATTCCTAATATGAACATGTTTTATTTTCAAATAATTTACAAGGAAACATAAAAAGGAATAATTTTGAATTTAACGAAAGGAAATCTGGATGCAATTTCTTCTTTTCAGTAGAGTTAAATTAATTTTCTATAAAACAAAAAATTATTTTAGGTACATGTCGAATACTAAGAATTTGTTTTTATTTACATACCTAAACTTGCAAAGCCTTTTAGTTCTATCTTCTTCCACATCGTTATTTTATTATTAATAATTAAAAAATTATAAAATTTATGATTTTTTTTTTAATTGTAATTTATTTCTTACATTCTAACAAAAGTAAAAGATAAAGAAATTAAGTTTATTTTTACAGAATGTTGTTTATTTTATCGAATTGTCAAATTCATTCTTTTAATATTGATGTCAAATGTCATAATTTATGAAATTGTTATATCCAACAAGTGACAATACAAGTAGCGCCTCGTTTCATAAAAACGGAGAAATATACAACAATTCATTTGCATTTATAAAACAGATTTTTTCGAAAAAAACATTTCATTTTAAAAATTATTTTTAAATTATATATTATACAAATTTTATCTGCATATATTTATTATAAAAAGTTTAAACTTACATTATCAAACAGTTCCGCACTAAAGTTGTACAATATATTTAAAACGAGCGTTTTTTCGTGAAAATTGACAACTACATATGTATATTATTTTCAATGAATTTAGTGAAGCTTCGAACCAGACTATGGAATGAATGAAAACATAATAATCATATGAAACTTTCATTTGGAACACTTAGAATGGAACAGAAACATCGGAATGTTTGAACGAACAAATAAAAACAAATTCATTTGAATAAAATTATAATACTTTTTGAAATTGTTTTCAAAACAAATATCTCTCATGTAGTATAATTGAAGTAATAAGCGATTACAATAAAAATAAAGAAAATTCACAATTTCAATAAAAATAACTTACATTATCATTTTTAAATTCTTGATATATGTATGTATATACTAACACAGGCATGCAAGCATGTACTGATACTTATTTTAGAAACATTTACTAAATATGAATAAGTAATATCTTTTGTATTTACTAATTTAAGCTTTCAATTCTCTCAAATTTATAGTTTACTTTACATATATCTCAATTCTTTCTAATTTATAGTTTACTTTACTAATTTTATTCATTTCGTTCATTTTAGAAATTTCAGAAGTAATTTTAATAAGAATAGACTTAACAAATAAATAGGAAAAAAAATTTCAATATATTATTACGTATTAGAAACTACTTCAAGAAGGATCTGAAATATAATTGAACGGTAACAGTAGAAATTATATCTGTTAAGGAGTCGCGTATATACTAAAAAAAATACTTGTAGTTTGAGAAACATATAGTTTTTATCTATATTTAAATATTATAGTGAACATAGATGATGTTTACGACTTCTTATTAATTTTTCTATATTATATTTTAACGGTCCAAAAGTAGATAAAATATATTAGATGTATTGCAATCTTGAAAATATAATTAGTAAAATTTAACATGTGTAGAATATACATAAAATAGTAGATATATTAGGTCTTTTTTTAAATGCAGTATATCGTGATATTTAGCGAAAACTGCGCTATGTTTACATTCATAGGTATAACATACAAATATTGCAAACCTAATTTGTTCGTAATCATAATCAATTTTTCTCAGTATTAGTATCGCAGTTAAATCATTATATAATAAATTGTGTTGACTTTATATAATAGTTAAAATTATGTATATCATGTTACATTTTTGCAGTATTGCGTTTTGGAGTTATTGTTTTTCAGTATCGAGTTTATTAAAATTTCTATTCTTCTACCTTTTCTGTACAGAATTGTCAGAATTTAAAGATTTAAAAATAATTTGAGTTTTCAATAATTGTAATTATTAATAATTGTTATACAACATTTGATGGAATCAGAAAAGATTTTGTGATAATTTTTTAAAAATATTAAATTAGAAAAACTATGGATTTTATTTGATTTCTTTTTATTAAATAAAATAAAAAGAATTTTTTATTATTTTTCATTTTAAAAATGTACAAATACACATGTATATATATACAAATATATTATAATTTTTTCTTACTTTTTTTTTATATAATAGCAACCTAAACTAACTAAATCTTACATAAAATTTTTCTTCGTAATACATTTTATAACATAGCATAGACGATCCTCTATAAATTTTTTAGTTTAGTTGTTTTTTTTTATATTATATAATTTATAGTATACCAAACCGTTTAATAAATGATATTTATTACAAATTTCATTATTTAATTAATTTCACAGCATATTTCAGCTTTGTTAAGATTTTCTAATTTTTTCCAAATTTTTCTTTAGTTTTGCATATTATAAAATATTTTCGTTATAGAGTTTTATGCTTTTTTTTATATTTCATAATATGTCGATGAAAATCATTTGGTAAATATCATTTGTAATTCTCAAATAAAATTTTTATTTCAGTATTTTTAATTTTGAAAAGATATTATGCATTATGCGTATGTATATCCTAAAATATACATACGAATTTTAAACTTTTTTCAAATATTCAACAGATAAACTAGTTTTCATTAATAAAAAATATAATATTAAATATAATTATAAATGCACTCTATATCTGTACGACACTTGTTTTGGTATAAATTTTAAAATTAAATATTTAAATGAAAGTAATATTTTTATAAATCTTTTTCTTTTAGCTATGAGAAAGGAATTTTTTTTTTTGTATATATTTTTTTTATTATTTTTGAATTTTATTTAAGATGATTAAACTGGATTACAATAAAGAAATGATAATAATTATTTTTGGTTTTAATTTTTTTTTTTATTTTTGCATGTTAAAAATATTTCAATATTAAATTATACCAAAACGAGATTTCACCTTAAACTAAAAAATCTTAAAATTTACACAGAACTATTAATACATGCGAAAATTTAAAAATATACAATATACACGTATACATAAATATTTAAATATATTGAATAAAAAAAAAAGTCCATAAATTTTATGGTACGAATTTTGTTTAAATAAAAAAAATATATAAAATTTGAAATAAAAATTTATTCTATTAGAATAAGCGAAATTATTTTTCAAAATTTTCACAGACTCTACTACGACAGTTAAACATTATACATTCTTTTTAAAAGATAATTATGTGACTCAATTTAATTTTCCTTAGATGGTTGTAATTTTATTATATATACAAGTATTACTTTATTTTTTATTCATTATATAATAAGGAATTAAATGGAGCCAGTCTGATAAATTTTGATTTTAATTTTTTCTTCTTTTTTACCTTAACCAACCTACGTATTGTTATAAAGCTTTATATTATAATAACCGTATAAAAATATTTTTTGATATTATTGTTTTTTCTTTCTTTTTTTTTTTTGAATTTTTTTAATAATTTTAATTTTAAATTTTGTATACAGTTGTATAAATTTTAATTTTAATTTCTTTATTTTTTTAACTAAAAGATATTTTATAAATTCGTTTTTAAAGTTCAAATAATAAATAAACAGCATAAAAACTTAATACATAATATTAAAAATATATATTAAATTAATATAAATAATTTTTTAATTTTAAAAGTTTTAATGTAATAAATGCATCACCAAAAATTTAAAAAAGAAAACTAAAAAAAAATAGAGGAGAGAGCCTAAGTCTTTAGGACGTAAACTTTTAGCGATGTGATAAATTACATAAAGAAGATTCTACGGCACATTACAATGCAAAAAGCTGCTATGCAATATACTCCTGTTTGTATAATTTGCCTTTTTTTGGAATACAAATGAAATTTAACTTAGTATTTCATATGAATTCATCAATTATCATCAATTTTGTCAGAAATCTGATTTACCAATTGTATGTATAAGCAAATAAGCTTTTTTGCATTGTAAATATTATTCAATATAATATTTTTTTTCTAAATAATTATCTTTTCTTCTTCAAAAAAAAAAATTCTTTTAATATTTCTAATATGTCATATATCTAATATATTAATCAATTACAACAGCCCAAGGATGTTTTACTTTTCCGTATTGAATATCAGTCAAACAAGTACGAATTTTTTCAAATACCGGTGATTCCTGTTCCATTGTTGGAATATATAAATTTTCTCCCATATAACTAATGCTATTGATAGGGCTAACAATACAAGCAGTACCAGTTCCAAAAAGTTCTAATAACTAAAATTAGAAAAAAAAAAGAAATAATTAATTTTTTTTCTCAATTTATTATTTTTTTTATATAAACTTACTCTATCATGTCTTAAAAGTTCAACAATTTGTGGCATTGTGAATTTTCCTTCTCTAACATTAAATTTACCCCATTGTTTAGCTAATCGTATAATTGAATCTCTTGTAATACCCGGTAATATTAAACCATCTAATGGTGGTGTAATTAATTCTTTTTCACCAGCATCATTTATATAAAACATGAAAATATTCATTGTACCAACTTCCGTCAATTCATGTTCTTCACCATATAGCCAAAGTACTTGATTTAAACCTTTCTTTTCAGCTTCTTTTTGTACACGTATTGTTGGTGCATAATTTGAACCCATTTTACGATCTCCTACACCACCTGGCCATGCTCTATACCGAATGATAAAAAATATTTTTTATATGTTAAAATAATAATTCAATAATATTTTTATTAAAAAAATTAATTAAGATTTTGTAGTTTTAAAAAAATTAGAGATTGTTAAATAATAATTCTTACCTTGTGTATGCGGGATCTGCTAATAATGATACTGCTCCGGATTTATCACCTTTGAAATAAGCTCCTACTGGACTAAGAATAGCATATAATAAAGCAGAATCAGATGATGCGACACCTAAGGTGGGCTATAAATTATAAAAAGAAAATATTAATATATTAAAATTAAATGCATATTTTTTGTATAATAATTATTTTAATTAAATTTTTAATTTAATTTTAGTTCTGATTGATCAAATAATAAGTTTTTAAACTTACATCTATTCCAATCAATGTTGGTCTAATATATAAACTAGCTGATTCAGTATGTGGTACCCATTCTTGATCAATTGATACCAATCGTGATAAACATTTAACAAATTCATGACCTTCAAATGTTGGTAAACCTGAACGTTTTGCAGTTAAATTCATACGTTTCATATTCATTTCTGGTCGGAATAATCGAATTTTACCATCAACACCACGGTATGCTTTCATACCTTCAAAAAGCTGTAATTGAAAACAAAAGATTAAAGAATTTTTAAATTGTTTTTCACATAAATGTACATGTGTAAATTTTTATATGATAAATGCAAAAATTAGTAAGTAATCGTAAATAAATTAAATTTAAAAATATTATCATCATGCACGTTTTGCGTTCGAAATGCATTTCTGCAAATAATTTTTGTTATTTTATTATTTTTCTAATATTAAATAATGATAACCTAATGTTGAACTTGTTTTGATTTATAAAAATTATATTTTAATATAATAAATTTAACAAAATGTGTCATTGTATTGTTATTAAAAAAACAAAAATCACGCCATTGGGGGTCTATATACTTTTAAAATTGATGTAAAATAATAATTAAAAATCTTATCATATGACAGAATGACGCAAATTGTTCTAAAGAATTATTGAATTTTGTAAATAGAATAGAAAACAATTTAATAAATTCTAATTATTCCACTTAAACATTTCAAATAATTATTTTTTTTTATTAATTTGAAGACAATTATAAATTTATAATGAATTTAAATTTTTAATAATATGATAAGGTTTTAAATGAAAATTAAAAATGTTTCCATGATGGTAGCAATATACTGATAATAAAATAAATATTACATACATATGAATGTAAATATATACATACCTATATTCTTGAATATAGGTATGGCAACAAGTAAATTTAATAATTACTAATCAAAAATTTCGGAAATCGTTTTTTTTCTTTTTCTTTTTCAGACAAAATTCTAAAAAGTAATTTTTTTAAAAAAAATTACACGTTCATTTTTGATAACAAGTTCACATTTTGATAACCCTTATCTTAAGGTTAGAAAAACCGGTTTTTATATACGTAATATTTCTTTTGCTATTAACTATTTGCTATTATTTATTTAATAAATCCTTTTTTTTAATTCAGATTTCTTTGTTGTTATAATAAAATTACTATTCATTCAACTTTTCCAAAAATTTCATTGATAGTATAAATAATTACTTGATTATGTTAATTATAAAATATTGTACATATTGTTATTCAATAATTCGATAATCTAATATTTTCGTAATAATAATTAATATTTCAATCAAAATTTAATATTATTAATTTTATAACTATAAGGCTCTTGAAATATTATTAATGTTTATCTATTTATAGTATTTGTTATAACTCAAGAGTATATTAAATTTATTTACGTGACCTACAATACCTACAATAATAATCTGTTTTTTAATTATATAGATAAATAATTTTTTTTTTTTTATTTACCTCAACGGCATAATGTAAAACTTTAGCAGCAGGATGCATAACTAAATTTTCTAATGGTGTTATTTCAGGTTTTTGCCATCCACCTAAATTTCTATGATAGAATATTTTAAGCATATGATCAGTAAAATGTTTTCCGAATGCTAATTCATCAACTTCTGGTTTTGGTTGTAATTGTGCTGGAGCTGCTAGCCGTATTGATAAATCTTTAGACTAAAATTATAGAAAAAAAGAAAACGATTAATTATAATTAAATAAGAACATATTTATATTTAAGGATTAAATAAAAATAAAGAAGGAAATAATATTTACCAAAAATTGATCACCAACATCTGGTTCATGTGAAATTTGTTCAACAGTTTCAGCAGCATAATTTGGTGGAATTCTCAATATTGGTATACTATCATCTTGATCAAGTTTTTCAACTTTCGGTTGAGCTTGTGGTAATGATGTATTACTACATGCTCTTAATTGTTGTTGTTGTATAAATTGTAAATAAGATTTTAATTTATGTTGATTTCTCAATACGTGACGACAAAGTGCCTAAAATAGAAAACAGATTATTAAATTATTAATTATATGAGTAAATAAATACAGAAATAATTTTTAATTTTATTAATAATGTGATATTTGAATATTTTTCTATAAAACGAAAAGTGATTTTCAATTTTAATAAAAATTATGTATGCATATATGCATATAAAAACAAACAGAGTGAAAGTAGTTCGGTGTATTTAAAATTTCCATATTCATAATTTTTTATAATAAAGAATATTTTTGTTCTAATTCTATTCTATATTATTTGAATTTAATTTAATTTTTAGTTTTACTTTTGAACTTTTTTTTATTATGACAAATGATTTTTTTTTTCAAAGTCAATGTCAAGGATTTTCATATTTTCTAATAGTTTTTTTTTAAATAAATGGAATTTATTAAGTAAGTATAGGTATTATAATTTTGTTTTTTCAAACTTTTTGAATTAAAATTATGGAATACATAAATGTATTTGTAAGAACACATGTATTTCTAAACAAAAATATGGTTGCATTCAAATATTTTAACCTTTCTTTTCAATATTATTTTAATTAGTAAATAATTATTTTATTTTTAGGCATAAATTTTAGTTAATGAGTGTATGTAAATATTATGTCATTATTGTAAATAAAACAAAGTTTATTCGCGTGTAATTCTAAATTCTTAACCTAAAGAAAATCAAAGTGCACGAGTATCATTATATACATACGAGTATATTAATTTTTTTTCAGCTGTTATAATAATTATTGAGTAAGATAATGCTAAAATCAGTATAGTACTCGTATTTAGGTACGAAAAAACTGTTATAGTTTGCATTTTCACTTTTTAAAATTTATTTTTGTCTTCTGTTTTCTTTTTTTTTTTTTCATTTTTCAAACATTTGAGTATTAATATAATGTTTGCAATTCTTTAAATAAATTTCGTCAGATTTTTATTTTTATATACATTAATATAATGTAGCTTAGGTATTAAATTTATGTATACACAAACAATATTTCGCTTTTCTCTTTAATTTTTTTATTCGCTTTCAAATGCAACACACAATCTTATACATTTTCTTCTTTTAAAATAAAACAAAATTCTAAAAATAAGTTTCTACTTCTAGTATGTTGTCTCTGCAAGTAAAACAAAATCTTATTCTTTATACTGATGATATTTCGTCATTCAAACATTTCAATACTATGTATACATATAATATTTATTTAGGTTGCTTTTATATAACAAAATAGTAAATAGGTAAAGTAGGTAATAGATATGATGGCAGGTATAATACCAAATTGTGTATATAAGTATGAACATAAATTGATAAGGGATAGAAATTTCTTAAGGATATTTAAAAAAAAACAGTAACACAACACAAAGATCACTGACCATATCATTTCATTACAATTACAACACAAACTAAAAATCAAGTAAATTGTAAAGAGAGCAAAGAAGAATTGAGATAGTTTGAGAGTTTTTTTTTAAATTAATTATATTTTTTATGTTAAGTAATGAAGAATCTACACGTGCTAAGTAACAAGATTGCGAATTTTAAATTTTTCTTTTTTTTTTTGTTTAATCATCAAAATTTTTAAAGCTTGTATTATAATTTTTTTATTTCAACTTATTATAAAGGCTAATAAACTAATAAAAATAAAAAGTAAGTCTATACGAATATACAAATACAAATGTTATACAAATTTTAAATATATAATTGATAACAAGTTTTGCATGTATTTTAGATTTAAATCTTGAAGGTTACAACAGATTTAATATATAAATTTCAAATTTATAAATTTTATATACAATTTTTAAAATTTGTTTGAACAGGAAATTTATTAAGATCTTTGTATTATAATTGAAAATTAAATTAACTGAACTTTTTTTTTTGTGTATCATTAAAATTATTTAAAAAACAAAAAAAAAATAAAAAGATGGCCTAGATATTTTCTGATTAATTTTTGGAAACTAGACATTGGTCGGAAGTATTTTGAACTTAAAGGTCTTAAAAGTTGCAATTTCGTTTAAAATAAAGAAAAAAAAACTTCTTTAAAACGAGACAATAATAATGCGACAATTCGTACAAAAAAAAAATGCTAATTTTTTGTATTAATTATATATTTTTCTTTGTATTTTTAATTATTTTTCATTATTACAAAAAAAAAAGACTTATACATACAAAAGACAAATTAATTCAGTTTGAGAAATTAAAAATATTTCTTAAGAATAACCATATTGTCGTTGGTCTTTCTTTTAATTTTGAATTTTAGCATTTAATAAAACAATAAATTAATTCTTTTAATAATACATTAAAATTTAATTTTCAATTAAATAAGAATTGAATTATTTGAATTTTATTGCTTTTCAGGTGTATTTACAATTAGTATTTAAGTATGGTTGTATAAGAAATAATAAAGTTAAAATACTAGAGGTCGATAATCATTTGAAATATATGGTATATATTTTATTAAGCACACTATTTTTATCCATGTACTTAACTTTTAAAGTATATAAAATGAACTTTTTATTTATTAAAGTATAATATTATAAATATACTAATACTTATAAAATTTTAATTTACCTAAAAACAACATGTTTAAAATGAAAATTTTATTTCTATATAAATACTCATGTATATATTGTAGAAAATTAAATATATAATAAGTGTCCCTATTACTGACATATTTCGCAACAAATTCAACTTTGGCGTGAGATATTTTATATGTGGGACACAATAAATGATCGTGTTTCCGATTTTTTGAATAATTTGGATAATTGAGAATAATGTTTTTTATAAAATTATTTAATCAAAATATTTTTTAATTCATAATTTTTCGATTAAAGATGAAAAGCAAAAATGTTCCTAATATTGACATAACCGCAAATGTTTGTGTCTATTACTGACAGTTTGTGTTCCTAATACTGACAATGTAATTTCATATGCTGTAATCTATATTCTATATATGAATAATGGTTAAAATGGTTAAAATGATAATATTAAATAAAAATGGAATAATAATTTAGATTTCTACGGATATTTCATCTTTTTTCAAAAAAAATTAAAAATGAATAAAAATATAATTCAAACAAAAATAAAAAACATATTTTTTATTGAATTAAAGGTAAAAATATGTGAAATTCAGCTGATTTGAATTTATTATTACTGTAGAATGTACTTTTGCTAGTAGTCTTAATATGCAACAATGAATAAATAAAAATTTTTAAAAGATATTTATGAAAATCTAATTCGAAATTACATAATGTTTTATAAAGTATTACAAGTAATATTTGCTACAAATGTATTCTTATAAATAATACCTAAAATATGATGTACCATATTACACGAAATTATAAGAAATCAGATCAATATATTCTAAAGCTGCTAATAAGCCTATTCTAAAGCTGCTTTTTGCTTTAACAAAGACTATTTATATATTAAGTACGTAACGAAAGCAACCCATTCTCAATTTTTAGAACAACATTTTGGGTTATTAAAAAGGACTACTTTTCTTATTTAAAGAGAACCATTTCCGTTGTGATATTTGTTATGACGTTAACGTTTACGGTAATTTTAAAGCATTTTTTTAGAAACCGGATTGTACTGTTTTATTGACAGTATTGTATACAATATTGATACACAATTTATTAGACGAATATCACTATTAAAAAGGTAAAAAGGTCATAGTCAGATATAGGTTTTCACAAATGTAATCGATTTTCATTTGACTGAAATAGTTTAAACAATTTTAAAGTATAAAGAAATTATTTTAATTAATTAAAATGAATATCAAAATTAAAACTTTATACTGACATAACTTTGTACATAATATTGACCCTCTTTAGATCGTATTACTGACACCAGTTTTTAAAGGTAAAATACTCCGAACCTGTAGTAAATTCTTAGTGTCAGAATTCGGACATTAGAAAGAAAATTCAAATTCGATTTTAATTAAATAAATACGGAAATGAAAATTTAAATATTTTAAAAATGACGTAGTTTATAAAAGTACGGATTTTTGACGTATTACTGACACATATGTCAGTAATAGAAGCATGGTCGAATTTTAGATGTTTCTAATACTGACAGAAATTATTTGTTAAAATTCTTATTTATTTAACGTTTTTACTCCGAATTACTTATAAAATAAGATAAAAAATAATCAAGATATTTGATTTAATATAAATACATATATTTTTAACCCTCAAATAAGTCAAAAAGCAATAAAAACAAAATCGGAAAAATTAAGCAAAAAGTATAAGAAATTCTCCAATTCAACCCACCATTACTATGTCTATGGAAACAAAACTGATTTATGTTCAATATTTTGGAGTTATTTCAAAACTAAATAAAAGGAAGTATTGCGATAATTTGAATTAATCTAGAAATAAAAATATATATATATGTTGTATAGAGAAAATCTCTTAATAATTATAAAAAACCTTATATATGTCAGTATTACCGCCACTGTCAGTATTAGCTACACTTACCTTAATTAAAAAAAAAAACCAAATTATTGAAATTATTTGAACTGATTTGCCTTTTATTGCGTCGCATTTTTTCTTTTTTTGTTAAATTTTGCTTGTTGTCTTATATTATTTACTGTTCTAAAAGTAGATTTGATTTATGCGTTTGTTATGTTCAAATTATGACTTAAATTGTTTTTTATTTTTCAAATATTTTATATATATATTTTATATAAATAAATTTAAGTATATAATATAAATATACATATATGTAGTTGAATGTATTTATGAATTAAATGTAGATATATTGAACTTTTAAATATTAAAAAGAGTTCAAGCTCAAGAGCTTCAAAACACTAAAAAAAGTGTCCATTTTTTTTAGTATACTACTTAATTTTTTTATTTTTATACAACTATATACCAGTATTCTGTTAGTCGTATTACTTGACGTGATTGCTTGTTATTTAAAAATTTTGAAATTTTCTGAATATAATTAATTCCGAAATTTTATGTTGAAAAATCAAATTTTTTTCATATGCTTAAGTGATGGGATTAACAGAATATGGGTACATATTTGTCTTTTGTATTTGGGTTTAATGTATTGTACTACAAATAAATAAGTTATATTTTCGAAATATCTGTATATGTAAATTTTTTCAGATATTTTAATATAATAAATTTTATTAAGTTTTAATTAATTTTCAAGCTTGAAATTGCAATTCTGTAAATAATTGAAATTCAGCGACTATTTTGAGTTGCAATTTATTTTAATAATTTTATTAATAAATATAAATTAATTGTAGATTTACTTTTAAGAACCTGGTGAAACAATTATAAGGCAAAAAATTAAATTTAAACCGTGTCATAGTAACTAAATTTTTTCATTTGAATATTTACTTTAATATTCCAATAATATGAAAATTGAATTACACCATTTTTATTCTTCACATCTTCCAACATTTTTTTTTTAAATTAAAGAGAGAAATTTTATGTATTCTTATATTTTATTCTATTTCAACTTCGATAAAAATTTACAAATATGAGTTATGAGAGGAAAAAATTTAGAAAAAACAAATATAACAAAAAATAAAAAAAGAAATAAATTTTATTTATTTTTTATGTTGCTAACTATATCAATTTTATCTCATTCTATTGTAGATTTGGGTGGAAGTGAGCAAATTTTAATTTAAAAATTTCATTTTAATTTTTTTCTTTTTTTTAAGTGTATAAGAACCAAAAAAAATTAAGTAAATGTTACCTTAGCGACAACTATCATAATATTGTGAGAATATTAAAATTAGAATTAATTATTGAATGAGAAAAAAAATTATTGGGAGCTAACTAGTTACTTAAAATTTCTTTTATTTTTCTATTCTAGGGAAAATTCTAGTCAATTAAGAAAAAGTTCTCAATAAATATAGAATGGAATGGCACTATAAAGTTCAATATAATAAGCATATGGCCCGATTATTGAACTAAATTGAAAATGAAATTGAATGAGTAAGTAAGAAAGAGACCCAAATTTGAGTAAACATTTTAATTAAAGTAGAAAATAATATAATTTTTTATGATTGAGTAATTAATTATTGAATTATGGAAAATATTCCTGAAATATTTTTATTTAAATATAATTTTTTATAATTACCTTGGTTCCTAAAACCATTTTCGTTTTTTTTTTTAAATTAGTTTATAATAAAAGTTTCCAAAAATAAAATAATTTTAATTATTAAAAGTCTTTTTTAAAATTCTTATTTAATTTTTTGTTTTCTTTTTTCTCAATTTTATGTCAAATTATATTATTATAAAAGATCACGTTTAATATAAGTCTTTAACAGTCTTTTTTCCTATGACAGTTATAAGCCTTTCAATAAGGGCTTTAAAATTTTATTTTTATATTATTTTTTTTACACTCTTATTTATATATTTACAATATAATTTTTCTCTTAATAAAGAAATTTTTTTATTTATTTACAAGAATTATTTATTTTAAAAATTTTCTTTTCCTTTTCTCTTTTATTCTAATATGAATTTTTTACACTTTTTGTATTTTCTAATATATTTAATATTTTCTTTTTTTCTTTCTTAGGTCTTTACAGTTGAAACTATGATCAAGAACTGATTGAAAATGATATTCGTTCAGAGTTTTATTAAATTTTTGTCGCGAAAAATATTTTTATTTTTACTTATTACACAAAAATAAAAAAATTAATTTTAAAATGTTTGTATGTATTTATGTATATTAAAGGTATATATAATTTAATTTAATGTAGAATTATTATGTGTATAAAAAGCTTCTCGTTTAATAAGGAAACAAGCAGCAAATAATAAAAATGGCTTTTTAATAAATTATTTTATCAATTATTATCAACTATGTTTTGTTGATCTCTTTAATTTTTTTTTAGATGAGAGTAGTATGTTAAAAAGAGAATAAAATGATGCTGTTAAGAGATTTGTAGTGTACTTGTATTTGGTTGGTGATGTTTTTTCTTGATAATTTCGATGATGACGACGATTAATTTAATCAATCAATCGTACACACATAAAAATGTCACTTATCTACGTAAACAAAAGGTATTTTATTTACTTTATTTTCTTCAAGTGCGAGCTTTTTTTTTTATATTTTTCTATTGATAAATAACTTTGAGTGTATTTTTAATTTTTTTATTTTTTGCAAAACTTTATCATTAAAAACAAGTTATTTATGTTTTTTTTTAATTTAATTACTACTATTTTTTTAGTATGTGGTAGTAAATTTTTTTTTTAATTTTTTTAGGTATTTTTAGGCTGGATAAATTTTTGTTTTTTATAATGAGAACAAAATTTTTATTGAGTGATCTTTTTTAATTCCTTTTAGGTTCAAGAAATTTTTTGTCTAAAGATTTTAAATGTTATCGACCAGAAGTAACAAATACGACTAACTGGAGAAAAAGGTTTACCTTAATATAAGTATTAAATGAAGAAAAAGATAAAGGTAAAAAAAAAACAAAGATAACAGAATAAAGGTAAAAAAGGAGAAATTATGAAAAATACTCAAAACTCTATAAAGAGTTTTTTGTTTAGTTGATTCCTAATATGAGTTTATCAAATAATCTTGTTTTTTTATATCGAATTTAAAAAAATTAACATGATGCTTTTAAATTTCGTTTTAAGTTGAGAGCGTGGTATGCACTTCAATTAACAATATGTGCACATATAGGTATTCAAGTTTTTTTTTTGAGTATAATTCACTATTTTTTAAAAATGAGTTAATATTATTTTATGTAGTTTTTAGCTATAATGGTTAATTTTATATAACTACAGTATTTTTGAATACCTTATACATTTTCTTTAAATATAAATATTATAAGTTACATTTTCATACATTGGCTTTAGTTATACCTATTCCTTTTCGATTACAACAAGCAGCATAATTTAATCCACTCAACTGTAATGAGCCATATTTTTGAGATGTTTAATATGTAAACGTAACTACTATCCAAAATGAGCAGAAATATCTTGAATAATATGTAATTGAGTGTTAAGGATATACAAATATTATTTTTATAACACGTATACAAATATAAAAAAAATTTCAGGTAAAATGGAATATATATGTAAATCTTTCATTATGATACAAAAATAAATTTTTCTTATTTTTAAACCCTTTTTTAGGATAGCAGTAAACCTAAGTAAGAAAAGACAAAAAAAAAACTGAAGATTTATGAGTCCTTGAAAACTACCCGAAATGAATAGCTATGATATGTGATTGAAATATTGGATATGATTTGTTGGAAGCGGGTTTTTAAAAATTTTTAAATTTTAATTTTAATCTGTTTATAATTTTAAAATTTCTTTAAATATATTAATAGAATATATTAAATTGATGTAATATTTCTTGATTAAAATGATTATACAATACATTATTGATTTAAATTAAATAAGTTTTATAAATATTTTAATATGAAATTTAATAAACAGATAATTCTAAAATGCGGTACTAAAATATGGCTAATAAAGGTTATAATGTCAATGTTTTCTTTATAATATAATATGAACCTATAATAAGTGAAAATGATGAAATAATTATTAATTTTTCATTCTCATTGATTTGTAATATAAAGTAGAATATAAAACGTTTAATAAATATAATAAAATAAAATTTTCTTATTGAAAAATTTTTATCTATACACTATTTTACAGTTGGAATTTGATATAATTGTATTATAACTTATTTTATAATTAAAATAATACAGAATTACAAATACACATTAATTTTTCAATTTGAGAAAAGTTTTTCTTTAAATTCTAAAAAGATATTATCATAAAAAATTTGCGAAATCAAATCATTTTTTATTGTTGTTATCAAATTTGTTATATTTTTTAATACGCATTAATTTTTTTCATACACACATATAATTTAATTCAATATTCTTTTTATCAATAAATTTTCCAATATTTTCTTAAAAACGTTTTTTTTTTTCTTGCATACGTCAGCAAGCTAACTTCCACCATAGTGTAAATATATATGTATTTCATATAACTTAACTTTTATCTACACTTTACCACGTTAAAGACCTTTTAGGAAACTTTTAGAAAAGTTTCCAAATATACTGTACATATACACATTATACAAAAAAAAAACAAAAAATAAAATTTATAATAAAATTAAAAATTTTATATTTATTTCTATACATTGGTACTTATATAATACTTTAGATATATTCATGAATGTGGATATTTTTTTTTAAACTCAATTTGTTATCATAAAATTTGTGCAAAATTAAAAAACAAAAAATCATAATAAAAAGAAAGAAAAAAGAGAAATGAATTCTTTTAAAAATATTCCTTTGAAAAAACAGTCATTTAGAACATTTGTGCGAATGACGAATCATTTTATTTATTTTTTTTTTCAAAAGAATTAACATAAGATTCTTGATAAGATAATTTTATGCGTTTAAATAAATTTCAATGTTATGATTTGATTTTGCATTAAAATTTTGTTTCTTACTTAAGAAAAAATAAACAAATACATATAATGTTGAAATTATTTCTTAATTAGAAAATTTTAATTACAACAAAATATTCTCTAATTTTTTTTTTAAATTTTTTATTTATTTTCTTTAAATTCCTGATTATTTTCTCGCTATTTTATTGCAAAAAGGAATATTGCTGACTTATTGAAACAAAATCAGATTATATTAATTAAATCTAGTAACCACTAAATTAAATTACATTGATTCAAATTTATTTTTTAAACTAAAGTAAATCAATTAATTCAATAATTTTATATTTATTATTAATTTTTATAATATTACTTTTGTCAATTATTTTCTTGTTTTAGTTTTTTATAACAAAACAAATTAATAATTTTTGTTTAATGTGTGTTGTTTCCATCATGTTGCAGTAAGAGTACTAATTTTAACAGATAATTAAGAATAATAATTTTAAATTAAATAATTAAAATATTTAAATAAATATAATTGAACGTAATAAAATTATTTAGAAATTAAAATATGTTGCATTTACTATTAAATTGAAAATGATTCTCCATATCATATAAAACGCATCTTTTAAAGTATGATAATATTGTTCAAAAGTTCAATACTTTTTCAATAATTTTTCAATAAAGAATTCAATAAAGAATGAGGTAGCAAGTCCTATAGAATATTGATGACTTCAAAGTTTTCTATACACTTAAAATAATCAATATTTAGAATTATTTTTAGGAACGTATTTTTTCAACAAATTAAAGAAGAAAATTTAATCAGTAGGTAATTATTAATATTATATAATTGATTGTATAATAGTAAGTATAATATAATTTTAGTTATACACTTATTTCTATAAGTACAAAACAATTTTATTTTTTTTATATTATGTAAACATTTTTTCTTCTTTCGTTTCCAAACTCTGATTACTTTTATACATACTTAAAATAACGAATTTGTACCAATAGAAAGCTATTTTACTTTCTAAATTCCCTAAATTAATATACATATATAATAAATTTAATTAACAAAAAAAAAACTTCAATAAATTTCTTTTCAAATATTTTTTTTTACATACATATAAATATTTGTGCCTTGTGCCTTTCATTAAGTTAAAGTTCGATGATTATATAAAATACCAAGATGATTTGCAAAATTATGTACATATATACATACACCTTTGCGACCATGAGTTTACAATTTACTTATATTTTTGATTACAATTATTTATTTTCTAGAATATTATAATTCATACACTTACTTTTATATAATAAATATATTTGAGAGTTGTTTTTTTTTTTAAATATAATTGAATATAATATAACAATTAATGTATACATTTATCTCAATATAAAAATTTTTGCTTGATTTATTTTGCTAAATTTTTGGATGTCATTTTTATTAAAATGAATGTCATATTTATTATGGTTCTTGTTGATTATTTTTATGTATTTTTTGTGAATATAAATGTTTAAAATAACAATGGAACTTTTTTGAATTTTATGGAATTTTTATAATTAAAATAATTAACTAATTAAGTAAATTTTATTATAATTTTAGCGAGATTTAAATTTTTGAAGTGGGCCCACATTGATGGAATTCAGTACCTAAAAAAAAATAAAAATTTATTTCTTTTAATACAATATATTAATAAAAATTTTGAAAAATTAAAGTTTTGATTGAAATAATATATAATTAATATATAATAGTAATTGAAATAATTATAAATAAAATAATTATTCAAGTAGATCAAGTTTAAAGATTTGAAGTCATTTTTGGAAAAACTTGAACAACTCTAATAAAATTAATAATTTATAAATCTTAGGTTTAAATTATTTATTAGCAATTTTATTTTTCGCAGTCGTTTATCAGCTTTTATAATGTTTTTTTTAATTGACCGGAGCACTATTGCGTCAACTACTTTTCCTTTTTAACTTTTTAAAATGTTATTTTTATGCAAGTGTGGTTGATTCAAGTGTGCCAAAATTTTTAAGATCAATGATGAGCTTTTCGAAAAAGTTATTTGATTAAATTTTTTTTGGAGGCGTTTGTCTTACTTTGTTATGGCATTTTAGAACTGTGTCTGATTTGATTGTCTGCGTCTGTGTCTGATTTGCTTCTAACTAAAAATTTTATTAAAATTAATTAACTTGCTTCGTTTCCTAACAAACTTTTCAATTTTAATACTAAAAATTATATGTGTTAGTGAATTTTTTGTTTAAAGAAAAAAAAGGGACTCCATATAATTTTATATTTCTTTTATTTTAAATCCATTTTAGACTATTCAATAAAAAAAATCCTTATTAATATTACAAATAATTTTTAAAATTTATTTGAAAAACTTATTCTTAAGAAAATAATAATCGCAAAGTCATTATAATTATATACATGTATGAATGTGTGTAAGAAAAAATTAAATGCAAGATAGAAGCTTAGAAAATTTTTTTTTAATAATTTATTATCATTAATTTTTATAAAAGTGATTGTGCATTAATACGATTTTATTTGTATTAAATAAATCGACAAGCTTAAAGTTTTTTTTTTTTTATGTCAACATTTTTTGATATAAACCATGTTTTTGTCTCTCTCTCTATATTTTCTTTTGTTTTTAAATTGCAAGACCTAAAAAACGGGCAAAGAAAAAACTATGTTGTGAATTATATAATAAAAGAGTCAAATTATTTTATTAAATTAATTTAAAAATTTTATGAATATATTAAGTTTAATGAAAAGCTTTATAAACATAACGCATTTTTTATTAAAAAGATAACGAGAAAAAATGAATATATGAATAAAAAAAAAAATATTATAATAAATAATTTTCTTTTTCCCCAAAAAAAAAGAGGTATTCGCAAACTTTATATTATATTGCATCAGTTTTATAATAAAGCTGAGTTAGGCGCTTAAAATTTTTCGTTTTATTTCATTAATATATTTTAGTAGTAAAATAGTATTTTATATATAAAGTAACGTACATACATATGATGAGGGAATTATAATTCTTTCATCAGCTTAAAAGAAAATTTTTTTATTCTTTATTCGTGTTTATTTATTTATGTTTTTAATATTATGATTCTAATGAACTTCTCTGACGAGGTCATTTTTATTATATATTAGGAAGTAAATATTTGATACTTATTAAATAAAAAGCTTTGGCACTAATTTCTTTTCATAAATATTATATTGGTCTATTAACTAGATTTTTTTAAGAAAAACAAAAAAACGGTTAAGAATAATAACAAAAAATAAACCATATATTGGGGAATTTTATTATTAAACTTGTATAAAATTGCGTATTTTAACATATTTTTTTTCAGAATAAGTGTGGATCTTATAGTAATTAATTTATATAAATATTTTGTTGAATCATAATTGTGAATATATTGTTTTATTTTTAGTTTTACTTATACTGGATTTATTGACTTTAATAATTTATTAACAATAATATTAAGAATGTTTAAAATAATATTAAAAAGAAATATTTTGGAATGGAATTTAAAAAATTATGATTTTTTTGTGCTTTATTGTACAATTGATTTAAATAATGTTATTGAAAAGGTATTCACGTGAATATGTAATGAATTTTTCTAAAAATAATTAATTATTGTACAATTAAATAATTGTAATTTGCTTATATATAAAAAATTTTTAATAAAGAATTAAAAATCTATTTTTACATAGTTTAACTAAAGTGTTTTGAATGGCAAAGTTACATTCACATAAAGACATGGTTGATCACAATCCCTATACAATATTACATATAATAAAATAAATTTTGAGATAAGAGTAAAATTT